TTCCACCACAGTATTTATTGATATTATTTGAATTTAATCTGATTTCTGCTTCTTCCTAGCCAGTGTGCTCAGGTGAGCGATGTTGCCCATGGGTCTGTTGTTCCTTTTGCATCTGACATGTTTTTGCTGTCTAAGTTCAATACCTAATTAAAGATCAAAGAGACAAAAATATGCTTGAAATTCCATAACTGCCATGGGTGTGTAACTAGTGTCCCATCGAACAGCCGAATTATCAGCATCAACGTCCAAAGACTACTAGAGAAAATCGCAGGAACATAGAGGCGTTTCAACACCGGCGATTAAGTTACTTCAGAAGTTCGTCTTGTATTGCAACAGAGGCCTGAAACTGTGATGTATTTTATGCCAGAAGCTTTGAAATCTTCTCATATTGGAATGTCAACCCGGAATAATTAAGGAGATCAAAGGATTAATCAGATAGCCGGGTATCCGTCTAAAGGATGAATTGAACAAAAATATTGAAAACAGTTTTGATCTGGATTTCCATTCTTTGTGCTCTAATTGATGTCATAAAATCTCATGATACATAAATCGATATATCATTTACTTTAATTGAAAACCCAATGAGGTTTGGGATTCTCATCAGACTGTCAATATACCATTATCTATAGAAGTATTTTTTCTTTGGAATCTTTCTCTATCAAAGATAGTCAGTGACTTTGAAGACCAATAACTTGTCTTTACCACACAACGGCTTACACGCTCGACTTCTGATCGGATTCAACAGAGAAGATCTTTTTTTGCCATTTACAGTAGACAGAAAACGGACATTATCCGAACAGACTGATTAACTTCCGGTTTCTATAGCGACGTATTTTTATCCCACTTGGTTTTTTTTATACTTGGCAAAATACGTGTTGGATCTTAACAGTTGATAAGAAAAGGGATAAAAATAATTTTGTAGTAAAATACTATCAGACCTATTTAATTCTTAATTAAATTGAACATCATTCAAGAACGTGACATATAGTCAGTTATTCTGGTATTCAGTCAAACCTCGTTATCTCGAAATCATGCAATGGGACTGAGAAAAACTTCGAGAAATGCAAAAATTCCAGATATCCATTTTTACTTTTCTTACATTTTCCCCACGAATTTCAACCAAAATCTGTATGAAGCATCTTTGGAGAAAAGAATTAACAAAACGGCGACATACAGTGTGTCTCTGTCAATAGGAATAGCGGTCTCCATTCCAATAATCTTTGCACCAAAATTTGTAACAAACACCTGTTTACATGATCGAAAAGCAAACAGATTTTTCAAAATTTAGGAATTCTTGTCCATTGAAAATGAATAACTTTCTGCAATAATGTACAACTACAACACTGAAGGGTAGCCCGCGTGGCGCAGTGGTTAGAGCGTTTGCTCTAGAGTCGCGGAGTAAGAAGTTGATTCTTACGTCGCGGGTTCAAATCCCACTGTGGGACGTGGAGACCGGTCTGTCTGATGAGACCGTATAAACCGAGGTCCCGTCTCGCAGTAGTTGCTGGCACGAAAAAGATCCCTCAATGCTCAATGGTCAAAATTAGCAGCTCTCCACCAGCAAGTGGTGGCGTCTCCATATGAGTGAAAAATTTTCCAGGGGGACGTAAAACAACAAAAAACAAACAATACGGGGGGGGGGGGATCGATGATGATTGAAAGAATAAAGGATCTGTGACATAGGAATAATTCTATGTGGGTCAAATTCCAAAGACAGTGACACATTTTTATTACTACTTGTAACATGTACATGTAGCACACACTTTCTTTCATACACACTTATACTTTTTTCATGGACCAGGATTAGGTGCTTCGTCTTGAAGCACATTACGACACTCCGTCTTTGATCATTGTCTGCTCCATGGTTTGAAGCACAGCTTTAATTATTCAGGAGTAGATTTATGTCTTGAAGCACTTTCAGCTCTAGCTTTGTCAAAAAAAGTAGATTTACATGTACTTCTTACTTCAGCACTCATTTTTGGAACAAACTCATTACTGGATAAAAATGCAGGCTCAGGAATTTTTCTAGGGGGTCCACACGCTAAAAAAAGCGTACACAACTTATCCAAATCCCGAAAAAAAATTACTGGTATTTTTTTCCTAGAGGAGGCGGACAAAAGACTTTTCTTCATACATATAACTGTCCTTTCGTGTTTCTTAGGGGTGGGGTGAATCCGAGGTCATTTTTGGTTACTTTCCCACAGAAATAAATAACTTTCAAACTCTCCTCTAGATGTACTTAAATGCAGAACGTTTAAGCATATTGCCTAACTTACACCTAACTTGCACCTTAGACACCAAATTCTAAAGTAAACTCTATGCATTCGTTCATAAGAGTGATTCTAGCTTAGCCCACTATTACATGTACACAGTACACTGGGACTCGACTTGGTTTGGTACCCAGCCCAGGGCATTGGCAATTCTGCTCCAAATCCTTCAGCAAATAAGAATATATTTTGTAGCCATGATAACGCCTGCAATGTCTTGGTTCTTCAATATTCAATTAGCTATTTTATGGCACGGAGACAGACATATCTGTACATTACTTAAATGTATCCAAGTTTCCATCAGACTATAATGGTTTATAATGGCGGCAGTTACTACTCATGTTAAAGCTCCATTATCACTAGCCATCTACGATGTCTCTAAAGGTGAACAAATTTTCTTTTCCTTGAGGAAACCATGCACTTCTTTTCTGATTTTCCTCATTGTATGTCTGTATCTATACAATATGATTTTCTACATGTTTGTACAAAATATCATTGCTTAAATTTCGTAAAAAAAAAAATAGTGATTGTTTTAATCAATTTCTTATACCAAGTTTGACCTTTTTTACTATGATTATCAATTATTTCTGCGTTTTTAAAGTTACGATGACTTGCAATTCCGATATCCAGTACTTTGTAGGGAAATCAGAAGTTACTTAAATGATACTCAGTTACAAAAAATGTAATCTAAAGTATAGTTACTGGGGTGATAAATAGTAATATTGTGACGTCCTGCAGTTACTAAGTTAATCAGAAGTTAATCCGATTTTAGTAATTGCAGTGATCAATAGTAACAGTTCATTATTTACTGAAATGATCAAATCTCATGTATTTATTATTTAATCTCGTGTATTAATCCTTTGGATAAATAGTAACCGTGGTTAAACTGAAGTCAATATGATTTAATTAAGAAGTTGTGTAAATTAAAGGTTTCAGTGTTGTTCAGTAGTTACTAAGGTAATAACAAGTTAATCTGAGGAAAAGTAACTGTGATGATAAAAAGTCACTGGTGTTCAGTGCAACTAAGTTAATCAGAAGAAAATCTGACTTTTAGTAATCGGAAGTTAATTAACATAGTTGCACTGAACACCAGTGACTTTTTAAGTAATCAGATGTTCTGTACCCGCCATTAACTGACTGTGGTGATAAAAGTTAATGCAGTGTTCCGATGTAACTAAGTTAATCAGATTGAAGTTAATTTGAATAATAATTACTCTAGTGAAAAAGTTACGGTTGTATTCAGTATTTACCAAGTTAATCAGAAGTTCATCTGAATTCTACATGTAGTAAATGTTGTGATAAAAAGCCACTATGGTGTTCAGTGGTTATTAAGTTAATCAGAAGTTATCTGATATGTAGTGATTGTGGTGATAACGATAGCGTTCAGTAGTTAAACACTAAGGTAATCAGAAATTAATCTGATTTATAGGTACCGAAGTAATAAATAATTATTATAATGGTATTCAGTATTTACTAAAGTCATCAGAGATTACTCTCTGTACTTGCTTTGATGCTCCCTAGTTACTGTTGTGATGATCACTAGTAACTGTATTGATCAATCACTTGTAACTGTAGTGATGATCACTAATTACTGTAGTGATGATCAATCACTAGTTACTGATCACTAATAACTGTGGTGATGCTCACTAGTTACTGTATAGTTATGATCACTAGTAACTGTAGTAATGATCACTAGTAACTGTGTCGATGATCACTAGTAACTGTAGTGATGATCACTTGTTACTGTAGTGATGATCACTAGTTACTGTAGTGATGATCACTAGTTACTGTAGTGATGATCACTAGTTACTGTAGTGTTGATCACTAGTAACTGTAGTGATGATCACTAATTACTATAGTGATGATCACTAGTTACTATATTGATGATCACTAGTAACTGTAGTGATGAACACTAGTAACTGTAGTGATGATCACTAGTTACTATAGTGATGATCACTAGTAACTGTAGTGATGATCACTAGTTACTGTAGTGATGATCACTAGTTACTATAGTGATGATCACTAGTAACTGTAGTGATGATCACTAGTAACTATAGTGATGATCACTAGTTACTATAGTGATGATCACTAGTTACTGTAGTGATGATCACTTGTAACTCTGATGATTAGAAGTAACTAAAATGATACATTATCACTAAAAATGACTGGGTGATTAGTACTTAGCATGGTTATGAGTAGTTAATATGATCCCCCGGTGATCTTAGATTAAAATTATTATCAATAATAACAACTGATTATCAGTGTCATGATCAGTTATTTATTGTGTTGAGCACCTTTGACTTTAGTGATTTGCAATTCTATATCGTAAAGCATAAAAAAGTGTTTTATAGATAGTCGTAACTTTGGGGGATGGGGGTGGGGTGGGGGCTTGGAAGGAAGGAGGGGGGAATCGAAGGACCAATCATTTTGACTAAAGGGTTAAAATTATTCTGATTTTTCAATACCTCATCCTTCTTGTCCACATCATGATCCACTGATATCAGAACAAATAAACTGTATCGATATCGTAGTATTTTCCTTGTCTGATATGTAAACAGTCTCATAAAAGATATAAAAACAAAACTCTCTTTTACCAAATCTCATTGCTATTCATAAGCGGGTCTTAACTGACAAAAATCATCAATAATTGGAAAACAAGAAACTCGGACGTTTATGATGCAGGATACAATTGCGATTGGAATTTTTAAAAAGAGGGTCTATTTCTTCCTCTAGAGTTCTACTGCTAGTACTGTCGATTGAGGGCATCAGATTATCACAGTTAGAGATGCAGGTGTTTGGGAGGACTGCTTATTGCGAATCAGGTAAGTTATAGAGGATTAATTAGAGATAAATGATAGACTAGATCTAAGAGATTAGTAATATTACGGGGCAGGTATCTCTTAGATCAATAACTGATTATGCATGACCAGCTGTAGCGATAGACCTCGTGGTCGCTGAAAATACCTATTAACATGGTCTGGAATCAGCTCATGCAAAGTAACGAAGACAGCATCAGGACCAGGCGATGTAAAGGTAGAATTACTATATATGTAGCCATACGTTTATTTTTGTTGGTGATAGATCATTAGTTTTCATCTTAAGACAGTTGTGCCTCAAATAGATATTTTTTTTCTCTATATTTGACATTGCAGAACTTTATAATGTGGTTAAAGTTTTGTTTGGAAATTGGAGTAGTTTCCTGATTTTGTATTTGAAATCGACAAATTTTTTTTTCTCATTAAATATATTCTGTAGACTAGAATTTGATTTTCTATGGTAAACATAGCAGTATTTTTGCATTTAGTTCATGCCTTTATGCAGAAATGTATAATGATTCATAAAGTATTCATTTAGTTCCGAGGTAAACTATTTAATATTTCATTTGTAAATGATTAAAAATTTTTGAGAGTTGATGCAATTCTTGTCTGTATAAATTTTTGATGATATCATCTCAACAATGTTATATAAGATAAAAGTGCTGTATCACTTTCTGAGGAAATTTCTCTGTATACGTTCAATCTATAAATCGATGGTTCTTTGATAAGGTTTAGTTGTCCGACACGCGTGGTTTGGCGCGCTTTCCGAGGCTGTGTCCCTATTTCCTTCTCTTGCTCATTAGGTTCTTGGAGACAGCGGTAAATGTCCGTAATTAGTGGCTCTACAACAGAAATACAATAGTTTCGTAGCGTGAAAGGATGTGATATATCAAAAGAAGTATTTTTTCCTCCAGTTTCTGGGCATATTTTTCTATAAATCAATCTTTGTGTCTTGCGACAGGTAATGTTTCGTAGACCATTCACGCGTTTTTATACGACCCTTAATTGAAAAATATGTAATTTATAATCGATGATTTTTTTATGGTTTGCTTTGTTTTAGTTTTTCTTGTCTGAAACAAAAAAAAAATATTTACAATATTTTTCAAATATCTAGTAATCAAATACGATTGCAAATGTTTGTTTGATGTTATTCCAACTCATTCATCACAAACAGTCGGTCAAATGTTTTACCACAAAGGAATATTTAAAAAAGTGTCATCGATTGCCATGCAGGTAATAATGATTTTGGTCATTGAGCACTGCTTGTATAGAGTGATGTCTTATACATGTAGAAGCCACTCTCTCCTATTGATCTCTAAGAAGAACAAAAAAACTCCTCGGTGATGCTTTAAGGGGTTTGGTTATTTCTTGACTATTATTTATGGAGCAATTTGTAAATGTAATATTGAGATAAAATTGATAGAGATCAGAATGGTACTCTAATTCAGTCTATCAGCGCGGGGCATGGATCAATTGAAGAAAAAGAGATATCGATCCCGACCGAAAACAAGATGGATTGCATAATAGAGGGTCATTTTAGTATCTGGAGCGATGCAGTCTCCTTATAAATGGGTCCAATGCCTGAAAGTGTCGGCAAAATTAGTCAACATTTACTTTATGAAGTCTGAAGTTTTTTTTTTCTGGTAGGATATTTGACAATCTTTATTATAGAAAATATAGGACATGGGTCATAGACTAAACAGAATTTATCTGTTGATGATTAATTTTAATGATAAATAACAGATGTGAATATACAAAATTAATGATTAACTATATTAACTAAACGATTTCAGTCATTTATTAGTAAAAAAAAATAAATAAAAAACCTTTCAGACGCGATTGTATAGTTCCTTTTCCGATTTAGTGTATGCAGAAATCAACAGCTGCTTACGAAAGGTGACCAAGATCAATAGTTAAAGAAACTACAAGGAGAAAAAAGTATTCGTAGTGATAAAATTAAAGTAACTGATGCATAAAGCATTTGTTGTAGTAAAACTACAGAAGCACGTATTCATTGTGGAAAACTACAATTCTTGGAGATGAAACTTTAGAATGCAAAAACTATTCGTAATGTGATTAAACAACAAGCAATGTTTTTCTAGTAATATAAAACTACAGGTATAGAACTCGTTGAGAAAAGACTTTTAAAGCAACAACAAATATAACAAACGAACGAATAAAAAACAAACAAATTCATATTGATAAAGTTAGAGATAATAAGTGAAAATGAAAATACAGAAATAAAAATATTTGTAGCGATAAAATTACAAGCATATTAGTATTTTCATTCAAATAATTTGTTGTAAGAATAAAGGCAGAGAAATCAATATATTCATATTAATGAACTACAGGTATAAATTAATTCATTTACATATGCAAACTGATTTTGATAAAAAAAAAAATTATGATTCTACAAAAGTACTCCGAGGTTGATATTAAAAAGATGCTTTAGTTTCTCATTGACAATATCTATGTAATCTTTGGAAACCAGGTCTTCAAACAATCTGTTGGAATTCCCAAGGGTACTAATTGTGCCTCATTATTAGCAGATCTGTTTTTGTATTCTTATGAAGCAAAATTTATTCAAAAGCTTCTACATGAAAAGTAGAAGTATCTTCCTGTGGGCTTTAATTCGACATTTATATATATCGACGACTTCTATATTTAACATATTCATTTTCATTCCTACGTTGATCTGATATAATTTATCCCAATAAAATAAGAAAAAAAATACACAACAGAGTCTAACACATCAGTTTCATAACACCAATGAGATACGTGATGACTTCAACTTTTCTATTGTTTACTTCCCTTACTTATGTAGCAATATACCATTATCACCTGCGTATGAGGTTTATGTCTCCCAGCAAATTCGATAAGCAATAGCATGTTCTACATAAGATCAAGTTCTTAAACAAGGCAGACTACTGTCAAATAAGTTGATGATACAAGAATTCGAACAATCTCGTTTAAAGTCAATAATGACCATGTTTGCTTTAGGCCTATCATACAAGGTATTCATAGTAATAAAACTACAAGCATAAATACTATTTGTAGTGATAAATCTACATGCAGGCATAGAAAGTGTTCGTAGTAATGAAACTTTTGCATTCATTCAAAATATTTTTAGCAATGAAAATTTACCGAAAATATATACTGTATAACTGTTCGCAATAGTAAACTACATGCATGCATGCATACAAAGTATTCTTGGTACATGGACAACAAAATTATAGGAACACAAATTATTTGAATAATAAGAATACAAAATCTTCTTGATAAAGTATCGGTTGAAGAGAAAGTATTTACACAAATAAATACGACAATTTTTACGAAGAGAAATCGTGGTATCTTGAGGGAATGAACAGCACATTGCAATGGTATTTCTGGGTTCGAGCAGTGTCCGAAACATTGGCTATACTTTGTTTAATTGGAGAAGTCCTTTGCAAAATACACCCTTTTGCAAAGTGCAAATAATAATCACGTTCCCTTACATGCTTTCCTAAATGTCGTTTTATTTCCTCTTTCAAAGAAAAATATCATAAAGGGTAATGTTAATGCTTTGCTTGCTCTGTGATATTTCCTTTCCTCTTCTAGACGACTCCCCTGAAAGCATGCTTTAATATCTATATTCCTGTACACCTTGCACTTTTTCCTGAAATTTCGTTAATTAATTAAAAAAAAAAATAGGAAGAAGGGGTAAAATCAATGGAATCAGACTATAAATTATATTTGGTGTCATTTTTCTCTATACTACGTTGTAGATACCGGTTTTACCAGAACGTTACCTTGATATGAAAGCTTTGTATATGATGCTTAATAATAATATTTTTATTGAACATTGATGAAATGACCAGGTCCACGGAAAGGTAATTATAAAGAGATCTCGTGGTTATGGTTACGCTGGGGGGTTTTATATAGTGAATATATATTTTGTATACGTTCTATATGCTACACATTTTAACAATTACAAATCTCTTATCAAAACAAAATAATGATAGCACTTTGTAGTAGAATTATCTGCATGGCCATCGATTTTAGAAACTGTTCGGTCAAAGGTGCAAAAAAAGGTTGACATTTCAAGGAACATTGGGTATATATAATGAAAATTATACATAATATTAAATCTATATAATTTGAAAAACTTTCATTAAAATAATAATTTATTAGAAATCAATAATGAATCCTTTCATAGATAGGCGATTAATTAAACTTAAAAAGAAAATTTCAAAGAATACACAAAGCACACAGACTAAATTTAGATTAGGATTTTCAAAAAAATAATATTAATTTAAATAGTTTTACAGAAATCTTTTTCTTCTGTAGAGATTTGTAATTTTCTTTGGTAAGACATTCTACATAACACGCCATTAACAATAAGACACTGAATCGATCAACTTTCATTTCTGTCCAAAAAATTTGTGCGAAATATGCTATGACAGATGGCTTTTTTCTGTACAATATTTACGACTTCTTTCGATAATTTAAGTAGGTTGGCATGTATTTCCCTTTTTTCACGCAGCATTGATCGCAAAAAGCTCATCCTCTTTCATCGTATTAAACGTGAGTCAAGGCGATCCCAGGGAAGGAGTTATCCTAAGATAGATTACAGTTACTATACTGAAACAGATTTTTGTTGATCAATGAATAGTTGAAAATTGTAGCTTTCATACATATACCATGTTTCTTTTTCATATCAGTTCTTTGAGGAATGATTTGATGTTTTTAAAAATCTATTTATTTATTTATTTTAATTTTTGAATATGTGACATAAAGTATATAAGAAATATGTTGTTTATATTTTGAAAAACTAGAACAGAGATCAGATGAATAGCAATTTACCGAGCGCTTTTATTTATTTAACCATGTACATTTATAGGTAGACGGGCCTACAAACCGGATGTCGTGGCGGCCATATGCATTTAGAAACTCTTTAAAAAGAAATGTATCTATAGACGATGTTTGTGTCTGATATTTTAATGCATTCGCTCTAGAGAGCCCACTTGATTAAGTCTAGTCTAAAAGTGATAATCGAAGGAAAGCTTTTTTCCATAAAAGCTTTCAAACAATATCTCTCTTTCACCGCTGCATTGTCCCTCGTGGCATCAACTTTACTGTAAAGTATCTCCAGAAACTGTGTAAATACGTCAATTGTTTAAACTTTCTTGGGGTTCTCGGTATGTCTGCGAGGGAACTATTCCTTGGGGTTAATTAATCGGGGATCCTAAAGCAATTTATGCTTCAACCATAGATGAAGAAATGACGTGTTTCTGAATATTTAAAGATTAAGTTGTTCCTGAGAGACGAACAGCACACGGTCCGCTTCCAGTAAAAAAATTCTCCCGTGTGATCTTCAAAAATATCTAGACTAAGAGCCTATTGGCAGTGGGGTTATACATTTATCGATAGAGCTTAGTTTTTTGGTCTGCAATACACTAAAACCTAATAATGAGGAATTATACATGCCGTGATCTTATTGGGTTAATTTAACACGCTGTCTTTGTTTTCCAGGGGTTATCAGATGCTGTATTTTACCGACTGGTGAACTGACCTCACCCTGAGATTGGCACTTTTTAAAGGTAATTTATAACTTTTTTTTATTGTTAATATCTATTGACTTTTTTGCTTAAATTTAAGTTTGGTTAGAATTAATTGAAATCTGGCTTTGCATGAAAAGGAAATTTAGCATAATTCCGCGAAATCTCTTTATAATCGCTGTATGTACTACATCCTGCATAATGCAAAGTTTTTTTTTTCTTAACCGGGATATTGTCACTCGATAAAAGAAAATGAAAATTATAGTAATGACTTATAGTATATTAATTATGCCTCGATAAGTAGAAATAAATGGAATAAAAGCGTATTAACAACAGCTAGATAAATTATGCATGTAAGAACCAGGCATATTGTGGTGCAATAAGTAGCCTTTACCTTAAATGCATGTATTATACATGAAAAGTGGTCTTTCCTGTGCATGTTTAATCATTAACTTTTCATTGATTGATATTAATCGAAAGCATGTATGTGATTTTGTGATTTATAAAGATGTCCAATCAAAAAACATGACAGTTCTGCGCAAGTGGTCTTCAATTTTTTTATTATTATTTTTTTTCATGAGCAGATGGCAAAATGGTCAAATGCAATATTTGTAATCCGACTTAAGTATACATTATGTATAGATTTACTGTTCAATACGAAAGTCAAAAAAGAAACAAGATGTATTTATATTCAAGTTGGACAAACAGGGCTGTTTGAAATTGTTTTATACTTAGAATACCCCTAGAGAAGGAGTCAACAAAAGATGCAGACACATTGTCTGTAAATTCATTTCGAAACGGGCGTTATATATGGCGTAAAATGTACTTATTTGGAGGTTGTAGAACTTATTTCTTAGAATACGTGTATATATAAAAAATGAATTGTAATGCATTTATCTTAATTTTTATGATTTGTACATTTGTAAAATTGTTACGTACAAAAAAAAAGAAAAAAAAAAGAGAAAAAAAAAGACAAAAACCAGAGAGAGAGAGAGAGAGAGAGAGAGAGAGAGAGAAGCGTACTTGTGCTCTACAGCAGAACACTAATTTTTCTCCCGCAGACTATTGTTTCCTTTACGGTCACTTTTAGCCCAACCTGCTTTATGATCGCTTCCTTTATTTATGGTGTGAAGCAGTGTCTTGTAACGTAGGAGAACGATTCTTGGCATTTCGACATCTATTTGCTTTTAAATCACTCAGTCCAACATCCCTACCTCAATCAATTTTACAACATTGACTCGGCGATTTACAGAGCACGCCGCTAACCCATTATATATCAAGAAAATCAACAACCGTCTGTCGCTGAATACAAACATTGACATAACTTCAGATCATTATTGAAAGAACTTTTCCAACCCTTTTGGATTTCACAAATACCCAGACCAATCACTCAGTGAAAGTGCCTCTTCTGTGTTCTCTATTCTATTAAATACACCCGAGATTTACCGAAGATGATGAGGGCAAATTAGCTTAATGCCTCGCAAATCTAATCGAAAGCGTATTTGTCAGACGGCATATGCTGATCGGTATTAATACAGATGGGTTAACGCATAAGGCGTTAGATGCCCGTTTATTACCCTGATCCATGACGCTTTTTTTCTAGCGTCAGTTGTCCATCACTATGGGGGTGATCAAATAATTTTGTTTCTATCGTTTCAGAGAGGAGACATCAGAAGGGCATATACCCAAGGGAAGATTATTACTACAACTGATTGCAACACCATAGAGAAAGAGCATCAATATTGCCATTCTCGACGGACACAAATTATTCCACGTATCGTTAGCCAGTTCATAGTTGTCATTACCAACAACATGTGTGACAATGTCTTTAAATGCAACGACAAAATCTCGTCAAGTTCACGTCACATGACATGACTTCAGCTCACAAACGTAAATGTTGGGTTCAGGAAAATCGGATTTGAAATTGAATTCGGAGAATTATCTCACAAATGTCCCCACAGGAGGTAGATATGGATGTAGTGGTGGCCAAAATCATCTCCCTGATCATATCGACAGGAGTATCCGTCCTCTTCGGACTTACCCCGTGTAAATTGTACCAGCATTTTGCCAAAGACATCACACGGATTCGGAAGGCTGTGGATTATTCGATATCGTCCATGAAGTGTTTTTCCGGGGGTATATTTCTAGGAACCTGTTTCTTACACCTAATTCCAGAAACCCGTAATAAAATAGAAGCAGTTATGACACAGTCGCGTTCGTATTCACAGTACCCTGTAGCAGAACTTTTGACTGTTGTTGGGTTCTTTGGCGTTTTGTTCATGGAACATGCCATTAGATCTTTATATAAAAAGCTTCAACGTTTAACTGACAGAGATCGAGAATATGGTGAAGGAGACATGTTTACATTTAGTAGTTGTAGACTGGGAGGAAGTGAAAGTGATCTCGATGAACAGAGCATGAATTCTATTAATATGCAGGATACTTTACAGGCCGAACATAACACGTTTATAAAATCAGCGGAACAAGAGGAAACGAAAGAGGCCCCGGAGTCTGATATCGAACCCGCTCCGCTCCAAGACTTACCAGTCAAGACAGTGGTATCGGAGCTCAGCAGGGGAGATGACTCTGGAAAAGGTCAGATGAGGTCAGCTATTTTTATCACAGCCTTGTCTTTTCACGGTGTGTTCGAAGGGATGACCCTTGGACTTCAGAGCATGGAAAGTAATGTGTGGGTTTTGTGTTTTGCCATTACAATACACCGTGGGATTTTAGCTTTTGGAATGGGACTGGATCATATGAGAAACGATGTCAAACATCGTACAATGATCTTCAGTGTGTCTTCGTTTTCCGTATTAGCAGCGGTGGGAATTATAATCGGGATCGCCATTTCGACAGGTGCACAACTTTATGAAGACGTTTTACTTCCGGACGCAATTTTGCAGAGTCTTGCAACAGGGACTTTATTCTATATAATCTTTTTTGACATTCTTTACAAAGAACTCAATGGAAACAAGGAAGTTAAAAAGTTATCATGTGTTTTCGTAGGCTTTTCTGTCATGGCCATAATATTTGCCGTTACACGAAGGTAACATTCCGCATTTGGTAACATTCCTTGTTTTAATTTAGCTTTTTTATTCATAAAATCGCTGAAACAGGGCGCTATATTTTGCTAAGGTTTTGTAATATTCATATATGTATGTATATTTGTTGCTTAATAACACTGTATACAATACAAAGTAAATAGTTAATTTATTTATATATATTTTTTATTTTTATTTTTTTAGTTAAATTTATTCATTTTGATGGTGTACTAGAACATAACTTGTATAAGAAAGAGATTTTTTCTGTCAGAATCTTTTAGTAATACGAATTTAGGATTTTTACATTTTCACAGTTTGTGAAAAGGGAGGTGGGATGGGGCTATGGACATGCTTATCGTCCAAGGCAGGCCCGTTGCAGCGGTTTCAAAAGATTTAGTGTGTGTGTGTGTGTTTGGGGGAGGGGGGGCAACATCCCAAAAAGAACTGACAAGCAAAGAAAAAACTGTCCAAAGGAGGGGGGGGGGCAACTTCCCAAAATTTCTGACAAACCTAAAAAAAAAATTAAAAATGGAATTTTCCAGTGCTTCAGTGCTCTACCTTTAATACAGCAACAAAAAGTGGAGGGACCAAAACACATCTAAATCTAAAAGCATCTAGATGAAAATTTACTATAGCCAAAACTATACTCAGAAGTGTAACTATATTCTATACTATATAGTATATATACTATATAGAATACTATATTCAAAAAGTGGGGACGGGGGAGGCACGCCAACCCCCAACCCACCCCCACCCCCGGGCGTTCTACGGGCCTGCAAGGTTTGACAGATATTTTTGTTTGTGTACCACACGGCCCTGTTTTAACAGTGTATTTTGCATTTTCAAATACAACTCTAACTCAGCTCACCCAAAGCAGAAAGAGATTTCGCCGAATGTTCAATTCATTAATCATGATCAGGTTTGTGGAAGCCATGCTAGCGATCTTAATAGGCAGCTTTCATTTCTTATGTGCTTTTCAGTTGGAATAAAACATGACCATGCACTGGTAATCCTTTTCGTTGACTTTTGCTTCAAACAAAAAAAGTGTATTATGGCATGCCTCTTTTTTATTCATTAATTAATTTATTTTTACAGTGATATTAGCATGCAGTCACGGTGTTTAATGCTCCAAATCACGACCGGATATAGAAACGTGGTCATTTTCCCTCAAAATTATTTTTTTCTTAATTGCGTACGTTATGATCTCAATAAAAATCTCAAAATGGATTTAAAAAGTTGATTTAAAACACGGATTAGAAGCACAGACTTATATGGAAACGAAACTTTAAACTTTCTGTCAGAATCTTTTAGTAATCTCCATGTAGAAATTTAAAAAAAAAAAATACAGGAAATGTTCTTTCATGAAATAAAGAGTAAAATCACGATTCGTTAAACATTTTTAAAGGCAATCATTCTACCCGATTGTACGAATTTGGGGGTCGAGAGTAGGAATCACACTGTAAAAAATGTGTTTACAATTCAAACACTTTTCTAAACACTTTCTTGTCACCTCCTTTTTTATATGTTTAATTTCTAAACATGTTAAATTCCTAAACATGTCTTAGAAAGTGTTTAGAATTTAAACATTTGTGTGCTTAGAAATTAAACATATCTTAACACATAAACACAAGTGTTTAAATTCTAAACACATAACAGCAGATGTATTTAAAATCTAAACACATCATAAACTGTATAATGTGTACCTGCAGAAAACAAAAACACTCTCGTAAATTTAGGCAAAAAAGTATATGTTTTTTAGATGCGCATAATTGTCAAAATTTTCAAAATATGTAACCAAAATTAATTATTTTCCATAAAGCCACTGGACGTTGGGATATGTATTTAATTATACAAAACAATGGGCACTGTGCGATGTTCATGTACTTAATTTACACAAACAATGTTGGAGATGGAACTGAATATAGATTTGAAAAGTCACAACAATTCAATCGGAATGACATATAATTTATAACGTACACATAGATAACAAACTTTTAATCTTCAAACTTATTAAGAAAATAATATTAAGCTGACAATTTAATATCAAAACTTCATTGAATATTTCTAAAAGGCTTTATTAAAGAATTTTTAAATTAAAAATACAAAATGTATATTTATATACATGTATATATTTATTATAATAATTATAATTTGAATCGGCTGCAGAGTTTTCCTCATGTCAATCACAAAAATATCAAATTTTATTAACTTTCAGCAATTTCCAAAGCACCACATATTATAATCCATATCCCATTAATAACTGCCAGAAAGTAATCCGTTTCGAATACACGAGGATAATTGTAAACACTGTCGAATTAACTCAGTAGTCTTCAACAAACGAAGTTTGAAAGTGTTGATTATGGAACAACAAAATTGCACTTGAAGATGACACCAGGTACTCTGATACGTGTATTTTGAGTTCGATCTGGACTGCAGTGCCTGTAGTAAAGAAAGCCAGATTTCAGAAAAAGTACACTATCACTGGTGTTTTACATTACTTAGAAAAACAAAATTGTTCAAGTTTTAGTGAAACTATACTGATATAAATATAGATGTTTTTAATTACATTTAATATTATTTCCTCTCCTGCAAGTCTATGAACGAATTCAAGATATCCCAAGTTAACTTCATTTACGTTGCTCATCGTGGTTAATTAATGCAAAGAAGAAGAAAACAAACCTTTAATGTACTGCAGTAACAAGATGCCCTTTCACGTATTTCAATATTTCGTCATGGTATCCCCTAAGTTGGGTTGTCATAACTCTCACTGATACATCACCTTAGCTTGTTGTGTTTTCTTTGTTTAGATAGCCGCTCAAATTAACGTTCAAATATATGTGTGTCATTTCCGGGAAGATAACTCTGCACTTTACAGTAGAACGTGTTTAATTTCTAAACGCGTTTAGATATAAAACATGTTAAGACATAAGTGTTTAGTTGTTAAACACAATACTATACACGTTTAGATCTAAACATGTAACAGAAGTGTTTATTTCCTAAACACAATTTTTACAGTGCAGTTGTGTGTTGAGTGGAATACCTAAAGGCAAACTTCTGGCCAAACAGTTGTACAAGTAAAATGGACTCTGACATGGGACAAAATGCTTCAAATAATTACACTTAAAATGTTGTTAAAATATACTCTATATAGATAGATGTATATACAAAAGATTCTTTTTTTCCAATGGGGGACTTTCATTACTAACTCCAGTTTTGTTTGTTTGTTTGTTTTATTAATCATTTACTTGGGTGTACAGGCTGTAGTAGCGTTTCTACAATGTATGGGGCCAACAAGAGTAGGTGTGGGTATGGATGTACGTCCTTCAACCAAAGTTCGATATTGTTTGCCTGTGTACTATATATACGGTCCTGTTTTAATAGTGCGTATTCAAATACAAACGTAAAATCAGCTCACCCAGACAAAAGGAAATTTTAGAATGTTCATTTTCAGATTTATAAAAGCCCATGCTAACGATCTGAAAATTAGTCGGCAGCTTTCATTTCTTGTTGTTTTTCAGTGAAAACAAAATCAGCAGATGACCATGCTCGGATAATCCTTTTCGCTGACTTATAAATGACGTCATTACCTGAAAAACATCGAAGAAGACAATCTGTGTTTTGCATGTCAGCGAGCTGTTTTCTGTCTTAGCAGATTAATAATCATTATAGGGACCGATCTTTTGCGCAGATTAGTTTTCCCTCCATTATGGAGGAATGGATGTGCTGTCACTTTCAATTAAGTAATGTAAACCGAAGGGAATTGTCTTGGAATTTTATCGCATTACTATCGCCTGACAACAAATTGCACTGCAAATTGTTCCAAGAAAAAGTTGTCCAAAGACAGTGGTGAGTTCGGAATTGTCAAACATATTACAAGTAAAAGTAATGGCCACAAATAAAATGTAAGTCGATCTCTGGAAAGAAAATAATGACATCAATTCATACCCAAGCACTTTGAAGTCGTAAAGGGGAAATGGGGAGCTCCGAAATATGCCTTGGTCTTTGTCAATAAAACGCCTCCAGATAAAAAAGAGTTAATGGAATTCTTCACAAGGTCTGCGGGAAGGTGAGACATGATCCTGCAAAATCGCCACCAATATCCTATTATAGTCTTAGCCAAAGATAACAAATTGCTTTGGAGTTCAAAAGAGAAAGCTGCTTTTTCTTCCAAGTTATATTTTATCCATCTGTATAGAAAACAACGTTTTCTTTTACAATGTTTAATGATTTTAAAAGTGAAAAATCTGAGCAAAAGAAAAGCGATTCTCTCTCTCTCTCTCTCTCTACAGTGTATGAATGATAAATACTTATTCAATTTGTAATTAATACATGTATTTATATAATGCATACATGTATAGTTTTCATACAGCCAACATATACCTAAATACACTTGAATGTTAAAAAATAGTCCATGTTTTTAAGTACTTAAAATTTACGTGTTTGATTTGCTTTTACCACCACCTTGTAAAGTTTTAATTTACAATGCTTCACTTACTGTGCAATCTACAAAATGTAGAATTTTAGATCTAGTGCCAAAATGTTTTCAAGGAATGGCCCCGATTTTTTTTTTTTTTGACCTTGAAAAAATTGGTCAAGGTTCAAAGTTTTAAGGCTAAATGTCGGTTCTCAAATTACGGCTTGCAAGAATATTTACGCATACGAGACGTCGCCATATACATGTACATAGATACCGGTGAAGGTATTCAATTTTAGACCTTTACTCGGCACTTTGGGCCATTTAGCAGTGAGGGTTCTTTGTTGTGCCTACACCTACTGTGAAAGAGGACCTCAGTTTTTAAGGTCTCATCCGAAAAACCCGTGACTTTCTTTTCTAATGCCGGAAGCTTGGCGAAAGAACAGTCATTAGCTTCTAGTATGTTTACATCTTAGGTTTGTTGCGGCGCCGGAAACGAGCATCGTACTCGATACCTCCCAATCACGAACGGAGCCCCCTACCACTAGGCGGCCGCGACCGGTGTCTCACTTTGAAGGGGAGACGTAATTATACAATTCAATAAATCACCTTTTAATCCATTTATATACAAAATACGTTTAAAACTTGTTCTGTGATAGTTTTGTATACTTTTATTTATCAGTTGAATTTAATCAGAAACTGATCATTGTGACATGTATGAAAAAAAGATGGATTTTACGGTCCTTTAAAAAGATGATTTGCTGTTTCTCAAACCAATGGAGAGAATATCTTAGAGCATATAAAACAAATTATACTGTCTTGAAGATTTTTAAGTTCATTATGATTTATCAAAAGGTATTTTTATTGTAATTAAAAATGAATTACTCAGCACTAACTTATCAACAACTTTCCAAGGGTTATCTCTCTTTCTAAAAGTAGCAACCGCATTTTATTTTCTGCCTACAAATTGTTTTGGCAGCTTAGTTGTTTATACCATGTTTTTATCTGGATCTGGTCGTCAACAACTACAGGAGAATTACAGGCATTTTGGACAAATTACCGGACATTAAGTGGTAATTAATTTAAAAAACTTTATTTCAAAGATAAGTCTCCTTTAGACAAATCTAATTAAATATTGTGGATAAAATGACTGATACCAAGAATTAGTTTTTGGAATTTTTAATGTAAACTCCGAAATTGAATTACATTGAATACTCTATATAGGGTCATTTTCGCCTCATCTTATTTTCGACCCTTTATCCCTATTGGCGAATTTACAGAAGCACTATTATAGTATCATAAAATTTCTCTATCAGTAAATGTTGGATGAATTCTAACCCTGGTGTACTCAATTATAAATTTAATTGGTAATAGGAAGGGGCAAAAATAACCCTTTTTCCAATAATTTTTAGGGGGGAAATATCTTGTGGTTTTGAAGAAATGTAATATTTTGTTTAAATTTTTAAGTATAATATTTATTACAATTTTAGTCTAATTTTGCTTTTCTTCATTTGTTTTAATAATTGGCTCAATCAAGCAAAATAACTTGATCAATCAAGAAAATATCAGCTGGGTATTACTATAATTGCTACAAATCTCTAATTAACATACATATTTCTAAATACATGTGTAGATTTATCCCAGATATTGAGGAAATTATTTGTATGTTCGTACAGTATATCTTTAAAAAGTTTTTACATCCATTCAGATATTTTATGTACATTCATAAATAAATAAATTGAATAACTGTTGCAATCCAAGATAAACTCTGATTATATGTTTACTCTTATCGATGCATCAAATACTCTGCGTGGATATGTCTAGAAGTTGCGCTTAATTCTATTGCTCGAATTATAAATAAATCTTCAAAAGTAAGCCAAAGACTGATCGGTATATTTTCCGGATATTTCTGGCGATCCCTAGATATTTATTTTATTGCATCAAATACACGCAAGGCCAATAGTCATTGTCTTTCACAAACAAAAACAATTCCGAGCTGTTTCAAGTTTTTACTTTTTTTTTATTCACCATCGATTGGATTTTCTACGTTATTTTTATTTCCTTGATTGTCCCTGGGCCCTTCCAGACCAGACAAGACGAGATATAGTGTTTGTATAACTAGAAACTAAGATCGGTAGAGAGCAGGACCGAGTTCAATCCCTTGATTTAGATTCCATTTTGTCTATCAGTAATATGTGTGCATTCTTAGAGAAGCCCTAATGAGATCAATAAATCAGCCACCTCTCTTATGATTAACGGTATTTGTACTATGTCGAGAGGAAGCACAACCAAACAAGAACATATAAGCAATATAACTAAGTCATCTTTTTGATTACATTTTGTATTGGTATTTTCTGATATCTCATTAAGTTGAATAAGCTATGCAAATAAATCATTCATTCCAGTTTATTTGTATGAATTCATACCACGCTGAATTTAACTAAGACCATGTGATTGCGCACAATTTCAGTATTTTTACGAAAAAAACGTGTTTGTATATGTATGCCCTTTTTAAATTGTTTGAAAAAAGTTTAATCTCGCATGCCTCTATGTCTCAAAGGTTTACATGAAATCAACTGTTACCTACATCAAAATATATGCTCTGTATCAATACATTTATAAACTTAATATGTCCAGACCAGACAAGACGAGATATAGTGTTTGTATAACTAGAAACTAAGATCGGTAGAGAGCAGGACCGGGTTCAATCCCTTGATTTAGATTCCATTTCGTCTGTCAGTAATATGTGTGCATATACGTTTACTAAAAACATTTTAGTAAAACTAAAATGTCCAAAGATTTCAAAGATTCATCATAAATTAAAAATCTATCACATACAGGCTCATAAGTAAGTGTTTGATTTCATTCTGTCACTATGACACAATTTTTCATGAAAGGTGAAACATCAATGGATCAACATGAGAATCAAAAATTAAACGCATTTTATAAACATACATGACAATTAAACACCTCCGTTGCTACATTAATCAAATGAGAGTGATTATTATATAAAAACACTTCAGCATGGTTTGATCAGCTTTCAAGGATAAGACGCAAAGTTTTCAAATCGCAAGAGCGGTACCGTTCTGACTGGCCGCCATTGCATGACAGATAACTGGTTCCCTATAGTTTGTTGGTTCTCCGCTGCCGCCCATGATACTGAATACCCTTCTGTTTTGTCACGGCCATTACCCCTCCATTGTTATCCTCCGTCGTCAGTAACTGCATGAAAGCTTGAACAACGAACTCAACTCTATTGAAAATGATAATACACATCTTATTTAAACTTAATAAATACAGTTAGATAATACTTAATCTGGAGATTTTTTTCAGAAATGGATTGCTCGTCCGCATTAATAAATCACATTTGTTCTTCAGTTTCGAGCAGATACTAAAAGTGATTTAAATTAAAACCCAAGTAATGATACGTAGCAAAAATAAATATCTACTGCAATTTGTAACGTCCTGACATTTTATTATATTATAAACAAAAAAATGTAATCACTTGTTTACGCCTGCGCTCTGCAAAATTTCTTGCGCTTTGGCATTTCCAAATATACCCTCTTCATTCACTCCCTCTGTTACCATTGATGTATCGGTGAAACCTGGACACAAACAAACATACCTCATACCAGTACTGAAGATGTCTGCATTCATCTAAAGCAGGTTAATTGGAAAAATGAATTCAGAGCAGTTTAATTATCCTTCGCTCTTTCGTGAAGGAAATGTTCCTTTCTTGGTTAACAATTAAATATATAAAATATGTATCTATCGTAATAAATATCTTGGCCAAATAGTGTCATACCGCAACACTTCTAGTATATCCTACGACGCTGTACTTGGAAGCTGTGTATACGGGCATAAAAAACACCGGGGTTAAACCTAAGAGGAAAAACAATATATAATTCTTAGTTAAGGCTTGTCAACCCTACGATAAGAGGAATAACTCTCAATGGGATAAATGACTGTTATTCCCTTATAAATTGTCAAAAGGCCATTTCTGTCAAATTTTGCCCTGCAAAATACGCTGAAATTACGAGCGCTTTAATCATAAATTAGATTTCTTTTTGAAAATCTTTTGCATTAAAACAAAATTTTATAAATTATATGAGTAAAGAGACGATTGATGAACCTTAAACACATTTATGTAATCAGTATGATGAATTGTTTCAATTTCCCTTAAATATCTGTTTGCATGTTTCAATACATATTTTCTTTCGTTTAAATTGTTTTTCTAAAGAATGGCCAGATTGTAATTAAAGTACATGTACTTGTAGCAAAATTCATCGTATCTTTTAGAGATTAAAAAAAATATAAATCTTGGACTGGAAAAAAAGATTTCTTTAAATTTATTGATAATAGAGTTATCTTCCTTATCACGGAGACAATATTCTATGCAAGCATAGAAAATAAGATGGACACCTGCTGTTGATGCAATATTGACTACCACGCCCCCTCGAGCATCTGATTGTTTGTTCATATACTGGTCTGCCAGCTTCGTACCTTCTATCACACCAATCTGAATAAAGAAATTTCAGAGATATAAGAAATAATTTAACAAAGAGAAATATTTGTAAATTACATCTATCTACTTGTAGCAAAATCTCTACAAGAAGTCTGATGACCCCCAAGGTTCAAAAGACCCTGGTGGCACAACATTTGATGTGGAATATAGAAGAAAAACCACTTGACATTTCAACATAAAAATAACTTCTTTATATAAAGTTTGATGATTTACTACTTGATCTTCTTAGGTATTTTGATAACCTAGACATATTTGATGACTATCAAGCAAAGATATTCGTCGGAATCTATTGGTCTACTGAACGAACGACGGATTGACAGGTGCAAAGCTTTAAAGTGGGGAGCTTTTAAAATTAAATTCTGATACATGTCATAATAATGATTCTCTTCAACAAAGAATGAATAAGGAGACAAGATTTAATGTAGAAATTAAAACTTGGGATTCCGAGACCCTGTTAAATGTACTAACTACGTTGACCATGATGGTTGTTCTCCAAGATTTGCCTTCAGTGAGGACCCCAGCATTGTTTACAACAATATCCAATCCTCTAAACCGAGCAATGGTCAGTTTGAAGACGTCTGAAAAAAAATCAAACGTACTTTTGTTCACTAGTCCTCATAAATTACATACCGATGCTAGACTAAATTGAGCTTTGCCATTGCTTTTTTTTTTTTTTTTTTACAAAGAAAGTGTACTTGACAGGCAGACCTGGTTGAACAAAATGCTTCTGATTTTTTGGAATGTGTGAGCCAATGAATAAATGAGTCTACCCAACTTTACAGAGTACAGCTGCGATCATGCAGTCGTTCTTGGGGGGGGGGGGGGCTTTCCCAAAAACGTCAAGTAAAAAAATGGGATATGGCTATATTGTTGCAGCTATACAAAATACTTTTATATTCCTTTTTTCAACAGCAGTTTCGGGGAAAAAATTACCTTCGAACTGCTCATGATTTGTGACGTCACACCGTAGAAACATGGCGTTGTTTCCGTACTTTGGTTTCCATTCTTGGATAGTTTTTTCTCCGATATCGGAGTTCAAGTCACAGATACAAACCTATAAAAAGGGAATCGTGCATTATATCTTTAAACTATATACAATAATAAATCCTCATTTATTTCTCTCGGTCTACTCTATCCTTGAAGATGTATATAATTTTCTTAGTAATAATACACAGGGTTCTGTCGAAAGAAATATAGGCTTCATTAAATTTCATTTGAAATTTCATCAATTTTAGATTTTTAGAGCAATTTTCCGGCATATGCATTTAATTTATAACATACAGCATCACATTTTTTCTGGAAGCAAATAAAAGGTCAAGGTCAACAGCACTGGTTTTTTCACAGATCTTTTTGAGTGTACATGTGTATGTGTGCTAAATATAAACCTCCAAGGTAAAAAAAAAAGAAGTTAAATTTCTTCCGTATTAGGTCAAAAGTCATTTTTTTAAATGTCATAATGCTAATATACATTTATAAAAGGGAATGTTTCAAGCAATACACTTGTAAAGTGAAAAGAAATTTTAAGATGCAATAAATAGTCTGAAATAAATGTGACTTCAAGGTCTTACATTAAAAAAATTAATATTGGACGAAATTGGAGTTCATATCGAGTAGGTCAAATGTCAAGGTAACGAGGTCAGTCACTGGTACGTGTACCGTCAAAGATATATATGCCATTCATATGTCATTCAGTCAAATGATATAGAACGAGAAGGGCATACATGTACACATAGGGACATGAGACAATCTTAGCAAAATCGGGTATATAGTATAATAGGGGATTATTATTATTATTATACTATATATATTCGATTTTGCTAAGATTGTCTCAAGTCCCTGTGCATGTACATATAACAGACAGACATGCAGAAAGACAATGAGGAAGTGTTTTTGCTCAGTCGGTTACACTAAATTTCTTTGGCATTTATTAAAAAAAAAATTAATGTACTATGATCTAAAAAAGTGAAATATTCACGTGATTTCAACATCTCATCACAAGGTGACCTTGATCTCTGAGACATGATCTCAAATTTTAAATACGTTTTGAATATGAGAGAATATTTCATCAAAGTGTTCTACATTCTACTTACCTTGACTCTATTTTTGAGTAGTTCCTCGGCGAACGCCTTACCCAGGCCCTGAGCCCCTCCTGTAATTAGGGCAACCTTTCCCTCCAGTAACATCCTCTAATTGTTCTTGATTTTTCCTGTGATTTTTCTTATTTAAATCATTCTTACTTATAAGTGGCATACATCGTAGATCTATAGGTAATATAGTTATAGGTAATAGGATCCTAGCTAATCAGGTCGAGATTGATGTCGAATCTAGAGTTACCTCGCTTGAGTTAACAAACTAAAGTATGGGGGCGCATTGCTGTGATAATTATATAGAAAAGAAATCACTGTATTTCAAACCAAGTTGAACTCATTTGTAGGTGGAAAAAACTCTTAATTCAACAACGGGTGTTTTATTATTAAAATGTGTTTTTATTTTTGAAATGTCGAAAAGGAAATTGCAAAGTCATCAGTCAAATTTCCCTCTGTTCTGTGAAAACAAGACTGAATTTTCTCACAAAGATCTCTAGCCCCGGCCTTTTCACTAAAAAATCTTACGATTAATTTTATCTTAAGAGAAAACTTGGTTTTTTTTCTTTTCGTAACAGCAAATCTAGACTTACATGTCGTAATTATAACTACTCGGCCATTTCCGAAATAAAATCTCTGAAGGAACTCATAAATATTAATTTTTTCGAGTGGTCTTGTCAGTGTGTTGACCTCTTTCATTAATTTATTTTGTTTTATTGGTCACTGTAACATATTGTAAAAATCTTTTCTATGCATAATTCCCATATACATGTGTACATGTCGAAATGAATGATTAAATTCAGACTTTTCGGACATTATCTAAACATGTTATACCGATGAAGAGCTCCGATTTCTTGCTAAACCAAATTACTATCTGGTATGGAGTCTCTAAACACTGAAAGTTTCTTTTTGACTTTGAGAAAAATAAAGTATATTAAGATACATCTTCGCTACGTACATGTAGCCAAGTTTTTCCAATCCGAAATCTACTCTACAATTCAGGGCGGTAGAGTAGATTTCAGAATGGAAACCCTTGGCTAGCGAAGATGATGAAGGTGTATATACATGTATTGAATTTATCTATATATAGTTCATTTTCAACATAGGGTACCTGCCATATTTCCCTAGATGCAATAATGTAGCCCTCTCCTTTTTTGAGAGGGCTACAGCTCCTTAGGATCTCCGTAATGGTGCAGGTGGGGAAGTGATTCACTCCCGCACAGATTTGGGCTCAAATTACATGTATCAGTTAAAAAATCATCTTATTTAAAGGAAGCTGAATCTAAAAAGTAATTGATTTTGTTTGAAGACATCCGTACTAAAAAAAAATAATTTTTGCATCAGTACGGAGATATGATGGAATTGCAGCCCTTTTCTGAAAATATCAGATAATAAATATCGGAGAGGATTACGTTATTGCAGCTAGTATTTCCCCTAAATGAAAAATGTTCAAAGAAAACGAAGTACTGAACAGCTGAAATCACTGTTGCTTATTACTTTGAGAAAATATATGCAAATTAAGTATTTAGAAATTACTTTATCTTCGTCTTATATTTACAATGTTAAGAATATTGTAATTTGTCACAAATTATATAGTTCACAATTGATATAGGTTAAATAAGTTTTTGTTTTGGGGACGAATATATAGATGGGGTGGGGAAGTGTATATAAGCTTCATAATTGGTATACATGACATGTATAATTATGTAGTTCTGTACCATCGTAATGTACATCGATATCGTCTCAAGCCACGGTCCGAGTCCGCACATTCAGCTCTCTCCTAATGGGGAAGGATCGCACCATAATTCTTTATATCAATGTTGCCATAGGCTCAGTATCATGATAGAGCTTTACTGAATTGATTGAATGTTGTTTTACGTCCCGTTCGAGAATTTTTCACTCGTACATAGAGATGTCACCATATATCGGTGAAGGGCTTCAAATTTAGACCTTTTCTCGGCACTCAGGGCTTTTGAGCTGTGAGGGTTCTTTATCGTGCCAACGCCTGCAGTGACTCGGGGCCTTAAGGTCTCATCCGAAGGACCCTCAACTTTCACTTCAAAGTGCCAAGCGCTTGGCGAAGGAACAGTTGCTACCAAGTTTTTTTTTATCGACTTAGGTCAGTCGCGGCCGTGATTCGAACACACGACCTTCCGAACACGGTCTACTGAAAAGAATACTAGACTTATTAGTACATGTATATGAAAATCTTTCAAAATTCTATACTTACAGTTTTTATCATAAGTTCAGCTTGGTACAAGTGTAGAAAACATAAGGATACATTCTGTATTTCTTTAGTTCTGAATCCACCTTTTAAAAAATTCAATTTTTTGTCAATAAAGTAACCCCGCACAGGAAACGGATATTCGGAGTCTTTTACAAGTATTTTTTTTCAAACACGATTCTTTATCGTGAAAAGACAAATAATTGTATTTCCTATGCACTGTGGAATTGTAAAAAAAAAATGTTAAAACACACCCTCCCACGGCCCCCCCCCCCCAATTCTCCAAACTCACGCAAAGAAATTTTACATCATGTCCTTTCACAGTTTTTTTTCGTGATAAAATATCGTTTTTCATTCTATACTGATATTTCTCATTACTCATGCACTTGCTTAAAGGTTTGATACAGAAAAAATGCTTTCTGATTCAATATTTGAGAAAGTGACATTGTGATCCCCCTCTCCGTTCCCATCAATTTAATTTTTTCATTATTCATGAGGAAATATTTGGAAATTCGAGCAAAGATTTCTGGAAGACAGGAAATTATTTTCTTGTAATATAAGAATGCAAGTTGCTATATCCCAGTTTACAGACTCAAAGTGCATAGTTTACTCGGCAGAAAAATAAGCTTGTCACGAATCCGACTAAATTGGGATCGAGTGAAACATACTGTGAGTGCGGAAGGGGTAAGTCGTTACTGGGGAAATTCATCCAATCAAATTGTAGACTTCAGTAGTGACTTATCAACCAATATTACTACGCTATTGAACTAATTTCTCATTTTACATAGGAATTTTCCTTATTTTCCAATCAAATCACGCTTAATTTTTGAGCCATCTATACCATCTTCAGTATTTCCATCGATAAAAGTGCCGCATATCAAAGTGCATTGAACGGAGGTGCATTGTTTACATGTGACGTTGTGAAAGGGCCTTGCAAGTTCGCCATATTTAAACAATATGGATGTTCGACGACCCGATGCAACATGAAAATGACTTTTAAAAAGCCATTAGGTAAGGAAAATTCACTTTTGAAAGAAGAAGAAGCCTTGATATATATTAAACATATGCATTAGTGCGATATAGAGCAAAGTCATTGGGTTTCCAGTGAATTCCAACATATTCGCCCAACTTTCCTCTGTCGTCGTAAATAAATTGCATTGTATGTGTAACAAATCTTCAGAAGACACAGTTTCATGCTGTCTAATGCTTGGTATATTTTATTTTTGAAGGTTAATTGGCTATTCTGTATCAAAATTCATTAATGTACAGTAAAATATATATACTAATAGATCACTGAAGTACTAAATATTGATAAATGCAAGTAAATTCACACTCAACTCACTGATCTTGATTGTAGTATTGTATTGATTTTCAATCAAATTCAGACACTCGAAGGCACAAAAGCATCTCATGCATATGTTCATCTATAATTTCCCTGTCTGAAACTTCAGTTGTATTACGTCAAAACCAATCATTTGCAGAGGTTTCTTTTATGTATCCCACAACCACTCAGAACATATTTTCAGTTAGTTTCTTTATCTGATGTGATAAATATTAAACTTCAACTGAAGGTTTTAATTTCCTTTTATATTTGTTAGGTCACATTTAGAATAATCTTTGTCCTCGGATAAGCCCTCATTGGATCAGTAGGACAATATCATATGAAGATAGGCCCCCTAGGACATTTCATCTACATTACAGTATCATACTTTCTACATATTTATTTGAAAAAATGTTAACATCTTTCATATATTATGCTGACGGTGTAACCATTGAGCATACGCAATTCAGGGATTTTTTTAGGGTCTCTGCAGGGCCGAAATTTGGCCCCATTCCCAATGCTGAAAAGTGCATGTTTTTCCCAACATTATACCTAAAAATTCCCAATATGAAAAAAGTATTAAGTTGTTAATTATTAAAATAAAATAATGACAAAAAGGTGTTTATGTCCTCTATGTGCGATGTAAGAGCCATCCGAGGAGTTCCGAAAAGTTATTCGGAATACTACGGATGTTGTATGCATATTTTTTAAAGTGGGATCGATGTTTAAAAATTAAATTCGGGATCGTTTATTAATAAATATTTACATTTCCAAATATTTTTCCTTAAGATTCTTTGCAAATTAGAAGGCTGTTCATTTTCTCATGAACTACCATGGATGAGCATGAATATCTCCATTGTTACGTCATAATACCTTACTTGATGTCAAAACTATAGTGCAAACTGTTTTGCTTTAAAAAATGACAGTTGAATGGCATAATTTGTGGTATCTCATCAGAAAATAATGTAAATATAAGAAATGAATTTAATTTTTGAAAATCATGAGGTACATGAACTACGACGCTTAACGCCGGCATATAAATCATGAAGCGCTAACGCGCTTCATGAAATATGCCGGCGTGAAGCGTCGTAGTTCATGTCCTCATGAATCTTCAAAAATTAAATTCATTTCTTAAATAAACATGCATCATGTCAGTCTCTCCAGTTTGCCTAGGGTGGTAATTTTCAGGCTGTGTTGAATCACTCTTATTCTTATAAATTAGTCAAACAATACCGATTAACCCTCATCTGGAACAAACCCACTATCAAATTTTATTTTAAAGAACTTCTTACGTAAAGGTAAAAAAGATGACAAAGTTGTATAAAAGTGTTCATTTACAATGTTATTATACCCTGCGGTTTTACCATTTTTAAGGTCCTGAACAGTCTCTATTATTTCATATCACTAAAGCTGGTTTAGGTCAGCTTCATACTATAAAAAAATAAGAAAAATGATTAAATATTTGACTTTTGCTTGTTTTTATTTGTATGAAGATATTTTTCCCAATTTCAACAAAATATTGCTATTTTTCCAAATCTTGACGGCCCCAGCCCCTGGAGTCAGAGGGTAAAAGAATCCCTGCATTTATGTGAAAATTATTACCTGATGCCTATTTACTTTTAACTTAGATCTACCTAGCTTTTCAAACTGCACAAGCCATTTGGAAAGTCTAAATTGTGATGTCATATGACATTGTATGTTAATTGCATTTCTACCAGGCCCATTGTACATGGGTGTGGGAGGGGTACGTTTTCTGAGAATATATAGTTTTTCTTTGTAAATTTTCTTTTGGAAGCTTCTTGGTCCCCCCCCCCCCCCTTTTGTTGCTGTATGGTCAAACAATGACAAATTCCAGCATTTAAAAAAAATATGTACCAAAAAGTCTGAGAAAGTCCAAATTTATCCCCTCCCCTCAGGGATTTTAACTTTGGGACTTTGGGCAGTTTACATTTTTATCTTTTTTTCTTTTTTGCCTGTCAGATTTCTTGTCTTGGACCCCCCCCCCCCCCCCCCAACTTTGATAAACAATGCTGTATGTGCTATAGGGGCCTTTCTGTAATGTAGCCTAAATAAGGGCAATTTTCAAACAATCTAACAAAGAGTGTTTAATCTATTATATGTCTGCAATTCCTGTGGAGAGTATCTTTTTTATTTGTAAACTTTTGTTCGGTTATTGCAAGCGTTTGAGCAAGAGAGCAGTATTGCAGTTTTGCAGAAACAATCTGTTTGCAGTGCATTAATTGTGGGTACCGAGGTTTACTGCAGAAAAATTCTATTGGATCAATATGAAGTAGTCCTAATTTTCTCTTCACCCAAGTGTTGTCATATTGATAAGAGCTCACAGTGCAAGTCAGCACTTTGCTGCTAGCTGTGCTTGCTTTAAAGCATAAAAATCATTTACTTGGATATGTGTGTAAAACAGATATCATAAATATACAAGGATTCAAGATTTTCCCTGCGCTAGATTTCCAAATAATTATGGAATGTACATTAAATTAAAAAATATATATATTTAGCAAATATTGCATTGCAGCAAGATCTTACAGCAATGAAATAAATGATGGGCAGATGAAAGGGAATTCTTTGCTTCTGAAATAAAATTACAAGGATACTTCTGATGTATTATTATTTATAGGATTTTTTTTAAAAAGATAAGTTCTACAAAAATATGATAATATTAATTTGTGACTTTTCATATTCTCTATGGATAAGAAATTGTGTATATATTCAAATTAAAATTTATATAAGTTAAACATTTAAAATTTCATAAATATTTCTAGGAACAAAATTCTTTTTTTTTCTTTTTTTTTCCCCCTAAAAAATCTGTACTGGACTGGGTACTTAATTGATTATTTAAAAAAAAAAAGGTTGAGTTCATTGTATTTTTTATTATTTATTGTCTCTATATCTAAGTAAGTCTTTTAATGTACATATAATATATGTACATTAAAAGACTTACTTAGATATATATTTTTAATTAAACATCAATTTGCATGCAGACCTTGTGTGACTATTGACTAATTGCACAGTGCATGATGCTTAAAAAAATCATATACATGTAATGTTTATATTCACGTTATATTATAAATGCTAATATTTTATATTCTTCTGCCACTTGATGCATGCTCATAAAAGTTTTTTTAAATAATGTATTTCTCTAAACATTAAATTGTCTCTGTGACATCGCATTATGATATAAATATTATTATGTTGCCACAATTTAAATGCTCCTTATTTCCCCTCCGACAGTTGAATTAAGCATGAACAGAGAGACTATAAGCTAAGGAATATTCACTAGCTTTTCTGTTTGTAATTTTTTATTGTTGAAAGTAAATTTATAATTTGAAACACTATATATAAAAAAAAACTATTAGTATTTTAATTGACTCTATGATGTTGCATTTTAAATTCTAAAGTAGCTAAAATGATTTTGACCAAGTTTAGCCATATTGATTCATTGATTTGCCTTTGTAGCTGAACAATCTAGTTCCACAGTGATAGATTGAGATTTAAATATCACTACCTGTAGTATAAAAGACCCGCTCCATAAACTCTTGTGTTCTGTTGAGCTTGATCTTGTGCCAATCCATAATAAATGCATACATTATTGTAGCCATTACAAGCTCTCAACAACTGTTAAGAGGTGTGAATTTAAACCTTATTGAATATTAAATAGAAACAAGTTAGTTTTAGTGTAGTATGAATCGCAGCCTGTAAATTGGACTAAAATGTCACATATACGAGGTTCTGCAGTTCAAATTTGAAGGAAATACACTGCATCACATGAATAAAAGCTGGTGTCGAAAGATTGTTTGCCTTTGGCTGGAATTCAATTCATATGCTATACAGTCATTGTCAATATTATCGATAGATATTGGAACTGTATGCAAGAAAGGACAATAGAATTTCTGTGTCATTTGCTTAGATGCTTAATTTTTTTTTTTTGCTACAGTGTGACACTAAAAAAGCCACTCAAAAACTGAAATTGTTTTCTCCTTTGGAATATTTTTGACACAAACTCCGTCTTGGAAAAATTAGTTGGAAAAAAATTCTTCATTGGAATTTTTTAAATGATCATAACAGTGGAATTCACTCTAACATGTTAAAGAGGTTATTATACATTGCCTGAGTGTCCCTTTTTGCGAATGTGCTGAATATTGTGACGGGTGATTTTTTTTTCTCCTTGGAGTACGTCATTTGGATAAATATAAAACCAATATACGTACTGGAGTTGTGTTGAAAGAACAATTGAATATTTTGGATGATCAAATACTCCATGATTTTGCTTCAAAGTAAATGGGAGATATGAGACAACTTCTATATAACTTGGCATTTTAAGTGTTGTACACAAGGACTGGTATTTAACTGCATGTATATGTGAAAATGGCACTAGAACAGGTAGACTATGTTTTATTTTTTTTTTACAAAGTTGTCAATAACAACCCAGATAATTTATTCTTGTACAAAAATTTCACCAGGAAATAAAAGTTTCTTTTTCATTGGCTGTTCTCATTAAAACATATTTGTGATGAATAAATTGCTCAATACTTCGTAAAGTATCATGCCTTTAATCAATTATTTCACATCGATTTTATCGACAGACTGGGTATTTCTGGGACCCAGGCTTTTTTCCTAATGTATATGCTAATTATGAGTCCTTGAGAACATACATCAAACACAGAGGTCTTTTTACAACTGTATCTAGTATTAGATTGTTAATTTAAACAAAGAATTGTTCAAAGAACTGCCAATCTTTGGAATTTTTTTTGAAAAAAAAATAAAGTTCTTGCTTGTTACCCAATTTAAAAGCACTATAATGAAAAGTACTGAGAGCACATTAGAGACCAGCTCTTTGATAAAAAAAAAAAACGAGTGGTTTTTAAACATGATATACACTTATTATAAAAAAAATTCTACTTGAAAAATCATAAAATTGAAAAAATGGATATTTACTACAATCTACGTCTTCAAAATTTTGAAGCTCTTGTGACAAAAATATACACTAGCTGATCACATGCTGATTGTGGCTAAAATGGTAAACTTGCATTATGCATTTTTGGAGCACCTAGTTTCAAAAAATTTTGCCAAAACATTGACCATAACATTAATTATGTTATATTAAATATTTTCTGTCATTCTCTTAGGATAAAGAGTTATGTTGACCATTATGTATTGCAAATATTTTTGTCACCATGACATGATAAAAGAGGGAGAAGACTTTTTTTTTCTTATAATAATTTTGTCTTTCACCTGGGTAATGAAAAATGAGAGAGAGAAAGGTCTAGGAATGATTTATAGTTTTACTCAGATCTTGAAAACCATGAATATATTGAAGTGAATTTGAAGTCCTAACCACATTTTATGTATTTGAACATGAAGAACTTGAATCCTTAAATTAAGATCTTTTTTTCCATGGCCATTTCAAGTTGGAGATAATGAAATTTGACTATATTTTAATTTTTTTTCATTGAAATCAGGTTGAAAGAGGTAGCTGATGATCATGTCTGACCCAGAGGCCCCGCCCCATTATGAGGACCAATCAGAACACAGCGATGAGGAGGAAGAGCCAGCACAGAGCAGTGAGAGTTCCGACTGCGAGAGTGAGGCCGAGGATTCGGGGTGTGAGGCCAATGGGGGAGAAGGTCAGCTGACCCTGATGGATGACCCTGAGTCCATCCTTATCCAGCAGCCACCCCTGGGGGAGGAAGATGAGGGGGAAGATGATGGTAAGATTCCTCAAACAGTAAATATCCTTTTATCTCATGAGAATGGTCAATCATATCAATTCATTCAATTACAAAAAGCAAAGGATACATGTATAGGAAAAAACTGGAATGGCAGGGTTATTTATTGATAAATGCTTGTTTACATAGCTAAATCCTCACAACTGTCGAGTATTACGTATGGTAAGTGTGTGCTGGTCTGTCTGTGTGTTGAGTTTGTAGAATCTAGTACTGGTAGTATATCCTAGTATCCATATATTTTTCCATAAAAGCATATCTCTCCTGTCAATAGTCTATCCTTAACATGATATCAAATCTTACCTCAGTTTATACTCTTCTTATCATATTGCAGTAAAAATTTAACAAAAATTATAGGTATATATTGTGATTTCATAATTAATATAAATAAATCTATGTATTTAATATTGAAAAATTCAAAAATAATTAACCCAGATAATATTTGGTCTGCAGTAGAAGCATTCCAATACATACCTTTGATCACACCTGGCTAATAGTCAAACTTAACTAATGCAAGTAATTTTCCTTTTGACCTTCTCTTTTGATGATAAGTGAGTATCATATGTGATTGATTTTCCATTGATGCCTGTTGGTTCTTTAGCTTTCTGGTCAGTGGTCTAGAGTGCATCTGTGTGAGTTCAAATGTGATGTAAGACACCAGTTAAGTTATATATAGCTATTATACTCAGCAAAGGTTGATAAAAATTTAATGTATTGAAGGCAGGAAAGAACATTCATCCCTAGTACGAAAACAAAACTTTATATATATATTAGTCTATAGTTATAGTCCCTGTATAATCTATACATGCACAAACAGCTCATAATACTATACATATTTACTGAGTTTGAGGCCCTATTCACCGGAGGGTCAATGCACGTCCAGCGGCAATTATGACGTCACATACGATACCTCAGATAATGTTGTAAACAGTGGCCGCAATAGTTGGAGCTAGCTGATTGAGCAGTAAAAAGCTTTTCAATGCATATAGTTGGATTATTATCTAAACATACCAATGGGAAGTGATGATTTGCATACTAGGAATAGAAAACACAGATGTGATAACCTGTAATATGGAGATTTTGAATCTTTTTGTGACAGAAGTTTGTTAATGATATATTTTTCTTATGGAAACTTCAGTATCTATTTTTTTTTAATACCAGACTATATAATAAAACAATTATGGACTTTTAAAGCGGTTAATATTGTTTGATATTCACCAGAAAATTATCCATATTGACCTCAGCTATGCCTTGGTCAATATGGATATTTTTCTGGAGTGTATCAAACCACATTAACCACCTAAAAAGTCAATTGTTTAATCATATGTTAATGTTATATGAAATAGGAAGCTCGTTATTACCCTGATATCTGTTTTTCATTAATTTATTGGACTACTACTAATATATATTTGATATATTTTATGCATTTAGCAGATTTTATGGGTTTAATATTATTAAATATTATTGAGGACAAGACAAAACCAACATGTAACATTTTATATGCACAGATACAGGGATCAGCACTCAGGCAGATGATGAGACCGAGTACGAGGGGGAGGGCCAGACCCCCCACAACCAGACCCCCATAGACATCGAAAAGAAACAAGAACAGGATAAAAAGATTGTCAAGAAAAAGAAGAAAAAGAAAAAGTAAGCCATTGTTACTGACTTATATATATATATACATTACTTTGATTTGACTCATGGCCAATCCTGGGTTTTTTTCCTTTTTTCGTCCTTATAAAACAAAATTCACTTGAATCAATAGTTTTCTGTCTCCTTTTATGAATTTTCCTCATTTACACTCATTTCACTGCAGTGAAGTGAAAGTACTACTGTATCCAATATATGATAGAAGATTTAGTGGTGACAATTGTGTTTTATTTTAAGGACGAGCGTGATAAGAATTTAAGAAGTTGACCTTTGTTAATAAGTAGAGGAATGTTTCTAAAATGAATACACAGTAAAATGTCATTAATCTAGAGACTTGTGTTCCCAAACAAATCATATGAATTAATGTAGCTTCCAGATTACAGAAACATATAAATGTGAATTCTGTTCCCAACAAATTTCATTCTGATGGTGAAAGAAAACAGATTATAGTAATCCAGAAAACCAAGATTCTACTGTACATGTATATAAAACAAATGTAGGGAATGTAATGAGGGCATTTTATAATGGTTTGAGAGGGGTCACTTATTGTTTCGGGTATTTGGTTTTTTTTTTTTGTATTTTGTTTTATTTTTTTGCCTGTACACTGCATCCATAGCCCTAACCTAGCTTGCTCAACTTTAGGAGATTTTAACAAAGTGATGATTTTCATTATACTTTAAGTCAAGATTTTTACGTTAGGACATTGTTACCTGGGAGCTAGGGCAGGGCATTTCAAAATTAGATCATGTTTTACAAAATATCTCTTTAATTGTTACTGGTAACTCTTATTAAATACCTAGTCTATAACTAAAGATGTTTAAAAATGGGGATAAATGTCACATTCATTGACAGGCTAAAGAGCTTCTTAGTTTAAGTTTATGTGTTAAAATGGCCACTTTCTGAAGTTAATCTTATTACTTTCTGCCATATTTGGGCGTCAGATTAAAGGGTTACTATATGCATGTATTTAATGGAACATCAGCTTATGAACAAATCTATACATACTCAACATTCAAGTAGAAATTCTAGTTATCATTAAATCTACAAAAATCGGATATCCTAAAGAGACCCAGTACCATTTTTTTTTTAAATTTTATTCATACAAATTCAATTTTAACGATTTAATTTTCACAAATTGTATACTCAGGAATAAGAATGATCGATGGAAAGATTTTAAAAAGTAAATTGAAAAGCTTGAAATTTCTTTAAATATTATTTAATAGTTTCAGTGTATTAAGTACAAGCACACAAGAGTAGTGGATATAATTGCACTAAAATTTTTCCTCCTTGGTCTATCATACACATATATTAAGCTTCTACTTTATTGGAACTTTTGGTCCAACAATAATTTGTAGCTCCGTGGAAACTTGAAGGCACTCTGTAATTAGACATCCAATGAAGTGTGAAAGTTTTAATTATTCACTCAGTGAAGTGTGAAAGCAGCAGTTCTTTTGCAACGGCTTTGGCATTTTTTTTTTTTTTGATAACCAGATACTATCACCAATAACAGTGTACCGAGTTGACAGCAGAAATTATGCTGAATAACACTCGTTTTGAAATGTGCCAAACGTATCATCGCTATTCTGCCAAAAATGGTTCCTGAGAAAGATTAAAGATAGGTGTTATAAAATAATGCATGTTTAAAATGGCAGCATTAAAATTGTTGATCGCATTTGGTGGTGAACTTCTTTTCCCCCAAACAAATTTGATCAGAAAATTAATGACCAATGATTTTCCTAAAAGTATATTTTTTCCTTATGTTTCATTGTTTTTATATAATTCCAGGAATTACTGTAATACTTGCATGCTTATGTTTTTTTTGTCTAGAAGCAATGAGGGTAATTTAAAAAAATAAAAAGTAGGGTTTAAAATTAAACCATAATGCAGGTGCACATAATCCCACCTAATGTACATGATGTAGTTAATAAAAAAACACACACACAAGTGTACGTACATGCATATTAGTCATCTTGCAGAGAATTAATGTTTCAAAAGATTGCAAGTATTTTAATGAAAAAAGTATGTAAACAGCTAAAAGAAAAAAAGAATTAAAAAAGAGAGAAAAATTAACATATATGTGCAATTCTACACTTTTTTTTTTGGTGTGAAAACATATGTACTTAAATGAGTGAAAGTGACTCGGTTTGGAAACTTGATACTGTAGTGTGTGTATTACTATTTTTTTTTCTTTATTTGTCCTTTGTTTCAAGGTATTTAAACTTTATTTAAAAAGATAATTTTTTGTAATTAAACCCAAAAATATATGAGCGACAAAAGCTCTATTGTTCTAAGTTGGACTTGTAACAGATAAGGTGCATTGAAGAGTTGTGGTGACTCATACTTTAAAACTTTTGATTGGCATTGTACGTACAAGTTCAACTTTTTTGTATTTTAATATTTTACTTATGGATTAAAATGTCCCCTTCTGTGCAATAGCTTTAATAAAGACCTTACGGTAATAAGTTCCAGTCTTGCTGGACTTTAAATATCAACAATAAAATGTTAAACCTGATTAAGATAACCTAGTTATTGATAATCAGAAATGGTTCAACAGGAAATCTGGTTCATTGTTAATTATAATTGTATCTGTATACTCAATGTTTAGTAAATTGATTCATATTAGGTAATGGATTATGAAGGAATAATATTTGATGGGTATTTTGTGAAGTAATTACCAGTAATATAAATAGTAACACTGCACCTAGATTTTGAATCTCAGCTTATGATAAACTCACTAAAAAAATCTATACCAGGACATTAAAGATATTGATTCGAAATTAAAACTCTAAATGAGCAAATAAAAAAAAAGGAATTTGCATATAGAAAAATCTGGTTTTATATATTAGAATACTTATTTATTTATGAACGGCAAACAGTGATCGCTTCTGATGACAAATAATGACATTACGAGATAGTGCACGAGACTTTTGTCACTGACGGTGATAAATCATTGTGTATTGATTTTTGGTGAAGCCTTCATAGAGCTTGGTAAATATCGGTGTTAGTATTTACCAGATAAAACCTATTGTTGGTAGGACTTATTGAAGAATAATGTCGTACATGCTGATAAGTAATGCTTGTCAATGGCCTTATGAACAGACTCACAAATATTTTTACAGCCCTTTATCACCCCCTCAGTAACATATTGGCCAAAGTTTGAAAACATAAAATATTTGGGTTTGTTTGAGAGGAAAAAAGGAACAAAGAAAGGGGTTAATGAAGCAATGTGTTCAGCTGTCAGATTTCAAATGGAATTCAGTTTATTTTTATACGTTGTGATATATGTGATAAGAAATAAAAATTAAAAAAAAAAAAAAAAAACATTGACAGATATTGTTTTTCAGTAGTAAACTAAAGTACATGCATCACCAAAAATTCATCATTCATTTAAAAAGCATTAAAATATATATAGATTTCAAAATAAAAAAAGATCTTCACTTTTCATTCATTCATTATTTCATTATATTAACATTTATTTATTTTTAAATAGTTTTTTCTTTGATTTATAATTAATTGATTCCATAAAATGTTTGTGTAACAGGAGTTTGTTTTTCTTTTTTAGGATATACTACATCTGTTTGACAAACTGCAAGTATGATGTGGGTAAGTAATGACAGTATATAAAGGAAATAAATACTGAATTGATACATAGGTCTCTAGGATTTCTATAACTCTTAAAGTTTGAATTTTAAATTTGCGATGATTTTGAATTGATGATTTAAAATTTGAGATCACTTTCAGTTTATATTTCTTAGCCTGGGTTTTACATACTAAAAATTTTTTTTCAGTGCGTCGGGTCTCACGTAAGTTTGGTTTTAAGGAGGTTTCAGATGATGAAGACTGGACTTTATACTGGACAGACTATTCAGTGGCTCTGGAACGGGTCATGGAAATGAAGAAATACCAGGTAATGATGAACAGTATTTTAAAAATTAAGAGTATTAGTACCATGTTAATTTTAAAAAATCAACGTCAGGTATGTTTTAAAGTGGAATATTATTTCATTTATTATTCAATACCTGACAGAAAAAAATAGGTAAAGTTACATACTCTAATAAGATTCTCTTGTACACCCATTCTTGCTTCATCTGCTGTTTACGTGAACTGGTATATATATTTGGTTTGAAATGAAACTTTTGGGGGGGGGGGGGGGTTGTGCAAATCTTAAAGTCATGGAGTTTGTCTCAGCTAATTTCTCTCTGTGTAAAAAAAATGTGTTTTATATATCTTTGACAGAAAATAAATCACTTCCCCGGGATGAGTGAAATATGTCGGAAAGATCTGCTGGCCAGAAACCTGAATCGCATGGGCAAGATGTTCCCTAAAGAGTACAATATCTTCCCCAAAACTTGGTGCCTTCCTGCTGAGTAAGAAGTTTATTTTTTCTTTTTTCCCCATCTCTCTCTCTCTCTCTCTCTCTCTCTCAATACATTGTACACGTGTCGTAAAAATTTTACAGTTGTATTTAAGTGTACTGCATGTATTAATAGGTTATTTTGCAGTACTGTGTTACTATTAATAGTAATGTCCCCAATTTATGTTCTTATAAGTAACCATTGCCTTTTTTTTTCTTGTTGCAGTTATGGAGACTTTTTAGCTTATACTAGACAGAAAAAGAACAAGACGTACATCCTGAAACCGGAGACGGGTTGTCAGGGGAGAGGAATCTGGGTGACACGAAACCCCAAAGAAATCAAACCTCACGAACACATGATCTGTCAACAGTACATGTCAAGGGTAAAAAAATATATGTTCTCAATGCTTATTGGAAAACTATCTTTTTATGCATGATTTTATATTGAAATCTGATGAACCACATCTCAAATGCTAGTGAGAAAAGGATATACATGTATTGCCACTCAGAAACTTAAGTCTTGTCAAAAGACTGATAAATACAGAATCAAAGATATAAAATAAGTTGAAACAATAAATTCTTGGACAGTGAACAAGGTTTTATTGTAATATTGTATGTTAATTTCTTGTTGCAGCCATTTCTGATGGATGGGTTTAAGTTTCACTTGAAGATCTTTACACTATGGTATATGATTTTTGTTGCAGCCTTTTCTGATAGATGGGTTTAAGTTTGACTTGAGGATTTATACACTAGTGACCTCTTGTGATCCACTGAGGATATTTTTGTTCAAGGACGGGTTGGCAAGGTTTGCCACCAATAAATACATTGAACCCACACATAACAATGTGGTAAGTAACAATTTTGAAAAAAAATAATTTCCAAACTGTTAGTGAAAAGAAAAAAAATCTCAAGTATGCAGGAAAATGGCAGTGATCAAACATTAACAATACTGTGTTTATGATGTATACTTTTGTTATAGTTTTTTTTTTATTACTTTATTTTAGGACAATGTATTTATGCATTTAACAAATTATGCAATAAACAAACATAGTGAAGATTTTATACGAGACGATGAAGCCGGGAGTAAAAGGTTTGTTTATGTATTCATAAATAAATTAAAATGATTCATTCTCCATGCACTTATGAATTTGATTATTTAAACAATTTCTGTAAATTCGGTGTAAATTTTTCCTTGACTTAAATTCTTCTTTGTTTTTGCAGGAGAATTAGTACAATAAACAAATATCTCAGGGACAAAGGTTATGATGTGGACAAAATGTGGGCAGACATTGATGATGTCATCATTAAAACATTGATCTCGGCTCATTCAGTCCTCAAACACAACTACCGCACATGTTTCCCCAATCACGTCAAAGGCAGTGCCTGTTTTGAGATCTTGGGATTTGATGTTCTTCTTGATCGTAAACTCAGACCTCAAGTGTTAGAGGTAGATGGTGTGGCAAAATGTTCACTTTTCTTTGTTTCAGAACAGAATGCATCTCTTATTCAGTTTTATTCAGGAAAATGAAGTAATTTGGAGTGGGCTAACAATGAAATATAAGCACTGAAATTATTAGGGTGAAATTAAACATGAAAACTTTGAATAGTGAATTTGCATATCCACAAAAACATACATTAAATCAGTTTGGAAATTGAATAAAAGTTGTAAGGAAAAAATGTAATTTTTCTTGTTGATTGATAAAATTTTGTTATACACCTGTAGGTGAATCACTCCCCCAGTTTCAACACTGACTCTGAGCTGGACAGAGAAATTAAAGGTGCTCTAGTGTGGGACTCTCTTAACTTAGTCAATTTTGGTGCTTGTGACAGAAGAAAATGTATAGAGGAAGAAAAAAGAAGGATAAAAGACAGACTGCTGGGGAGGGGGGTCAAAAAGGAGACTAGGTGAGTGAAAGACACTAGGGTCACTGCAAGTACACCTTACATGTATTGTGGGGGTGGGGAGAAAAGACAGGTTTGTAAAGAATACTAGAGGTCTATAGCAGGACCCAGGAGAAATTGTACAGATGACGTGTGTACTTGTCAGTTTTTTATGAATTATAGAAGATTCTGCAGGCTAGCATAGAAATTCTGTTTCCCGTACTGCCTCTCTTAAAATATTGAGCTTTGCTATTCATCTCTCAAAAAAACTGATAGTTGTGTGTGAAAAGTACTTTTTTTAATGCTGAAAGTATTTTTACTGTAGGGAGGAGTTAGAAATTGCTCAAGCCCAGTACCAAGAGGTATTGGAGAGATACGAAAATAATCACATGGGTAACTTCCGCCGTATCTACCCCAATCCAGGCTACGAAAAATACGAGAAATTCTTCCACAGCAGCGGCAGCCTATTTCAAGAAACAGCAGCATTTAAAGCCAGGAGTGAGATGGCTAGGTAGGTATTCACTTCTGATCCAGTTATCAGTTTATTTCTGTCAATTTGTGTATGGAATGAAATGATAGCATTGAATTTTACACATTTTTAGACAACAAAGAGATGAAATAGCTCGCAAAAAAGAGAAGCTTGAATCAATGTTGAAAGGGAAAAAGAATTCATCAACAGGACTACGACCAGAGAGCCCAGGCAGCAGACGAAGGAAATCAGTTAAGCGCGCTCTTGTGCCATCGCGAAGACTGACCAATGCTCGGGGAAATATGGAGGTGTGTACTTTTCAGTGGATTCATTCACTCGTAGGAGTTGTAATGAACACACGTAAACATCACACTTGCGCCATTTTTTCAGAGTTATTGTTTCTTCTTAATGCCAACAACACATGACGTAATAATTCCTCTGATATAAAGTGTTGTAAACTGGTTTTAACAGGTGTGTTTAAAATTTCCATTGGTTAATCGACCCGATTCGCAGGTAGCTATTGATGTTTTCTCTCACTGATATTAACCCCAGCCCAAGTTTGAATTTGCTCTGTACCCTGGTTTTCTAATTCTGCATGCTGCTTTACAGGGAAAGTAAATGGTCTATATATTTAAAAAGAATCAAATTAAAAAAATCAAAGTAATTGAAATTAATAAAAGAATCTTTTCATAACCTCTCATGCCAGAATTTTCACCTAACTAATGAATCATTGATTAAAATGTCCTCCATCCTGATTTTGTCCCTTTGTTTAACTTATTACCTGGACAGATAATAATATTGAAGAATAGGTGTATAATCTTCAACAGGTGTATCTAAATTTCCCACTGCTTACTCGCGATCAGGTATAGTTCTCTCACGTCATAACTAACCGTGTCAGTCAACCATGACTGAGTGATTTGTGTTCGATTAACCATCACGTTGTCCTAAGCATTGACACAGTTTTGTGACAATCAGAATCCAGATGTTGGTTTTCTGTTTGTGTGAAATGAAAAAGCTTATCATTGTCAATTATGAATGATCTTTTTTTTTTAAAAAAAAAAAAGAAGAAGAAAACATGAAACATGCACATAGATTAATTCTACAAATGAATGTATTCGAGCAATTTTAAATGTTTTCATGCAGAACTCTGTAATTGTGCTTTTCTCCCCAACACGTTTGCTTGTTGTACTATTGGAAATTTGCTGCAAAGTTATATTTAACCTTTAATGTTAAAGTTTTGACAAAAAATATATCCCTTTCATGTGAGACACACCTTTCTTAAAATCGCATACCAGTAATGATATTCTTGTGACAATCTGATGTTTTTCTGAAGATATTGGGCTGTGAATCAAGCAGTCAGCTGTGTGATGACCCGATTGACACAACCAAACCCATGGACATCCTAGAGGAGGAGGAACTGGAGCGCATTTCAGGGCTCCTCCAGCGGGACAATCTGGTCAGGGGGCTCGGGATTGTGGAACATGTGTACCGTCTGCTGCACTGTACCCCAGGGACCATGGGGGTACTCAAGACTGACGCCCGGTCACTACCCCCTCCACTGGTATGTAACCAAAGCATTCAGTAACATTTGACTCTCTCAGGGTTTCAATTCACTCCACTGTTTTTAATTTTGTGCTGTGCTATGTATACAAGCAATTTTTGCCTCAACAGGTACACATTCAAACGAATTCCATAGTGACTAGGCCGGGCTCCCAGGTAATTTGCATGCCTGTTTCCCCAGCCAATATTAACTGTCCAGTATTGGTTTATTATCCTGATTAATATTTTGTTATTGTCTAGAGAGCTACTTTGATTCTAAGTCTTAGAAGCTGTTGTGTTTATGTGACAGATATTTCACTACATGAATGTATATGTCAGTAGTTTTTGTACAGAAGCTTTTGGTATTGTGGAGATTGATTGCTAGGTTTAAGTACTGTTTCATTTTTGGATAAACCATGTGACCATCTAGATGAAGTAGTGGAAATAAAACTGTATTTTAATACTTTGAGCAAAATACCTTATAGAGAAATATAGATATTAAACATATGTCTGCTGTTGTTTGTGGCAGATTATCATTGGAATTGTTAGTAAATAGTAGTACATATTTTTCCATGCTGTGGTCCATTTGTAGGCTACACTGCCAATGAACCGACCATCTACTGAGATTCACTTGACCAGAAACTTGTTCTCGGTATGAGCTGCCCTTTATACTCAGCGATATATGATTATTGTACACGTACTAATGCTTACGTAGCCAGATGATTACACATTCTCTATATAGAACTGGGGATTATTAATATGGCCTTTTAAAATTGTCAAAAATTCGCTGATACCTTGCATGGTGTTCAGTTTCTTCTATTCTCTCCTTTCTTGAAGAGCAGCCCTTTTATCTTACTTTTTTAATATGATTAGGGGAGAAGGATATTAGAGCTCTTTTGTATAGGAGGTTATTTTTACATATGCATTTATGAACATTTATAGAGCTTATGGAGTATGGTTATCTTGCATGATAAAGCATCTGCCAGATGTATTCAGTAAATTGCCTCCTGCTTCAATATATTGTTCACATTTTGTTTATAATTTAACACTGCACAGCAAACACAGCCAAAAATCAAAGTTGTCAATTTGGCTTCTGCTTTATTACACCACTACAACAAATATTTCTCATGCTCACACTAGATTTGATACAGATACTTATGGTGTACAAAGAAAAGATATACGCGAGTTCATTTTTATGGTCAGTTTATCATGGATCAGTAAAAATTGATTTATCGATGAGTTTTGCACGTGTAATATCTGTGGATTTTATGAACAGTTTGCCAAAAAATGATCCAGAAGAAAAAAAAATTACCAAGAGTATTGTAAATTGGTTCAGTGTGGTTGTGTTCATTTTTATAAGGCTCACTTGATTAACATTTTAACCCCAGTGTATAGACAGAAATCTAACTTTTTTCCCCACACCTGCATGAAGATATTTGTTTCAGTAGTGTATGTGATTTTTTGTTACAGTGATTTGTTTAATGTCTTACACCATATTTTATCTCTCAGCTTAATTCATATAAAAATATGAATATTCCTCTTCTGCTGAACATTATTGCAGCTCTTTCAATTATACTTTGGGGTAGGGGAGTTAAGGTTCATTGACCCTCTGATAAGAAAAATAACTCTTACTTTTTTTTTGAGTAAATGATTATTATTTGTAAAATAATATTCCTTAATAAAATTGTGAAGATGAAAGGCTGTGTCTATCAAATTTTTCACTGCAAGGTATGCTGAAATTGCATGCAAATTAATTATAGAATAGATTTTTTGAAAATCGTAAGTGTTAAAGCAAAATTTTATGTTAGTGGACAGAGGGATAATGAACCTTAGAAACTGAACTTATAAAATGAAAGAACCCTGAATTTCAGCAGATTAGGATTGGAGATTATTCACCTGCATGAAATGATCACTTCTGTCCTCTCTCTCTGCACTGCACAGGATCAACAGAGATGGCTGTTTTCTAACCGTCCAACCGAATCCTGCCTCGCTGGAAGGCCCGCCCCCATTAGAATTAAAGACAGACAGTATTACAAAAAACTTTTGGATAGATATTTCGGACATAATCATGCCTTGGCCAATGAGAGCCTTGGTAAAACAGACAGAAAAATAACTAGACAAACTGCACAGACTCAAATGAGATGTGCCAATGGGTATCAGGGTGGCATGTTCTGTCCCACGCGAGATGACCGACAGTTCCCCCATGTTAGATTGTCTTATAGTACAAGTGATAGGAAGGTGGTGCTAACGCACCAAGCGGGCCCGCCCGATGACTCCGAGGCAGAGGAACTTTTTGAACTGGAGGTTGGTAGATGTGTGCCTTGTCGCTGAATTGTTGTGTTCTGTGTTTTTGAGTTGCTAATTGTTTGACATGGTTTTTATTCTGTCCGTTTTTCTGTTCCCCATTATTAAGTTTGTTACCTATATTTTTTGTCAGTTGGTGTGCTGCCTCATCTTAATTTTCAGCTACGCAATACAGTGATGTTAATTATAACATTAAATCATACGTGGAATATTCTGATTTTCTGGTCTGTATTGATATAACTCTTTTCTTCACAGTTTGGTGGCTTTGCTTCATAATCTTCTGACTATATGAGCAGATTTAGGGCTTTGACAATGCTAGACTTTTATAGTGCTGACTTTTACTGCCTATAGGGGTTGGAAAACTCATCTGAAACTAATTGATTTTTAAGTTTATGAAATAAATACTAACACAAGGATTTTTACATTTATATATAATTATGTGTTTTGAATACATGTATTTAAATTATCATATATGTATATAATCTTAAATAATTGTTTGATATGTATCTTTGTGTTAATTGAAAATTTTTGTAGTCAGTGTTAATTGAAAGCTTTTGATTTGTGACTTGTTGGGGTGTGTGTTGGCCAGATTTTCTTGAGTGAACAAAAAACCAAAAAAAAAAGTTTAACCGCTTTTAAAATCCCCTAAGCTTTATTAACTTAATTTGCACTAATTTTGCACAAAAATCACAAATGTATACTCTTTGATATACTTCACCCATGCATCTTATAATTTATAATATTCTAGTACATTGCACATTTTGTTAACTGCACTATTATGGTATAATATTTACTAGGATTTTCTCCCTCCTTTATATAACATTTAATTGTTGTAAATCAGTAATCATAGATTTATACCTTTAATTAACTTTTTTTTACCTTAACTTTCTACTATTTTTTCCCCCATGGATTCTTTAATTGCATGACATACCGGTACTTTTTTTTCAACAGATAAAATTTTGAGTTTTACATCCATGATTTATTTAAAATGTATCATGGCTTCTAACAACACAGCTTAACGTATCACATCCATGTAATCTAACATCACCGGCTTGTCCACTGTGTTTTTGTTGTTTCAGAGTGGTCGTGTCTCCGAGCTAACACATCGAAGTCTTCATAGCCTTAACCCTCTATACAACAGCACCCCTTCCCTGCATGCCGCTTTTAGTCAAGCCACTGCACTTCACCCCATCACTCACCTCACTTCCTCCACCTCCAAAATCCCCCTCCCAATTAACGGGGAACCCGCTCCTCCCAATCCTCTGGCCAACCCCCCACTGAAAAACACCCTCAGTTATACTCACCTTGAACCTTTCTCTCAAACTTCTGCTCCTTTGTACACTCAGCCAAGCTATGGATCTGGGCGTAGTACCTCCTCATGGCAGACAAAGTCGGGCAGTCTGGGGAGCCTCAACGAGAAGACTGTGCCATCATACCAGGTAATGACCTCCATGTATAGGGGGATGCTTGTTGAGGGTGGGGGAGTAATAGCTGGTGCTTTATACAGAAACTGGGAGCAATCATATAAAAATCACTATATACATATACCAAAGTGCATATCTGCTAAATAAAACTCGACAATGTAAGAATTACATAAATCACTGACCATTAGCAAAAAAAAAAAATGAAAATAAAGAAAAAAAATTTATCCGATACATGATGGAAAAAGTATCAGTGGGAATTAATAAACAGAATAAATATCTTCCTGTTCAATAATTAGGAAAGATGCAAGTAAAATAAAAACTGAATCACAATTATGTTTTAAAACTGATTTTGAAAAGAATTATGCACACTCAGATAACTATTTTATAGGCAACTGATGTTCAAAGACTTCAAATATGGCGTCTTGCAACCCCAAGATGGAAAAAGGCATTTACATTGTTTTTGTTAATTTGCATGAAAACTTGGATGAATTTTTTAAAAAAATTCCTAATACATTTTATTTTAGCATAGCATAGCAGTGCTATTGAAATCTCCATGAACAGAATATTCTAGGCATAAAAATACATCACTAGTCATAAGAGCTTTTAGAACTCCTTATCTTTGCAGAGCACTAACCTTTGAAATTACACATGGGTTTTTGTGTGTGTTTTTTTAAATTTTTCTAAATAACAAGATGTGTCCTTTTGCAGTTCATTGTATTTATTTGGATTTAAAAGTATTGATTCATTGTGGATTTGATTTGATTAATGATAAATTGTGTCATTGAAGGATATTAGCTAGTGTAATTTTAAGTCCAGGCTTTTTTGATTTTTTTTTTTAAGTTAGAAATTTATATTAGAAAACTTTTTGCACTGAAATTCTTTTGGTAAGACAAACTAATTAATTGTGTGACTTAAAAATAGAAATGGTTGCTAAGGAACTATAGTTACTACCAGTACCAGAATTACTTGGTAAGACTACAAAGTTCAAGTTTAAATAATATGGTAGATTCTGGAAATAGGTGGCAAATCCTTGTAACTTGGTGCTGCGCTTCATATGAGGGGAAAGGAAAATCTTTTCATAATCTTTTACAATATGTGAAGGGAATATTTTAGCATGTAAGTGGTAAAAAGGAAGGATATTAATTCCTCTTTTAAAAAAAGAAGTTTTAATACATATTAACTCATTAAGATGTTCAGGCTTTCAACTACCTGAAAGAGATTTTTATCATTACACTTGATGCTGCACCATTTTAAAAATTAATCTGCACTCTCTTCTTTGCACCCTTAGATTAAATTTTCTTTCAGTATTTTATGGCAAATAATTTATTTAAAAAAAACCATACATTTATACATACCACAAAAGTTATCTAGGATATTTTCTTGTATTGTTCCAGAAAATTTTTACATAATTGATAATTGGTAACCTTTGTAAATTTTCCAGAGGAGTAAATTTGTGAGAAAGCCATTAGGTGGAACGAACAGAGCTACATCAACAACCATTATACAAGACTCAGAATTCCGTAGCAACATGGCTCATCTAATGGACACAGAGGCCGAGCGGAATCGTCTGCTGGCGAGAAATGGATATGGTCCAGACTGGCGATCGGACGCCACGACTCCCAGCAGTCTACAGAAACGTACGCTCAGTGCACACGGACAGAGAAAAGAAGGTGAGTAACCCTGATTTAAGCATGGCTCCTAGTTGCGTTTGTAATGATGAAACATTCATTATAAGTGTTACCTTAGTGAAAACTGTGTTTTAGTTAATATATATATTTCCAATTTCATTGTAAAACATTTTGAACAATAGTTTATATGATATCCTTTGATAGTTCTTTGCATGCCAGCATTTTTGTAATAAATTTGATACTTTTAGCTAATTTATCAATTTCTTTAAATAAACTAAATTTTTTTCTATGCTGTGTTGATGGTGGTCTCTTTCCTCTTTGCATGTCTCAAATCAGTTGATAAAGTAAGTTTCTTTGCATGGAGTCTAGATGGCCATTTGTTTGAGACTCTAGGACTTGCTTTGTGTTTCTCGCTATTGTACCAAAAAAATCCCACACATACACACACACAAACAAAGGATATCTGGATATCTCTCTCTAGCTTAGAACTCTGTAGCAGGCAATTTTCTGTAGACCTACCTACTTTTTCTCAGTGTAGATCATATGGAGTGGGATGAAAATTGTGCACAAAGAAACCATTTATCTCCCTTTAAAGTCAACACTAATTCCTCCTGTGTCGTCAAAGTTGCACATGTACTGCTACAAAGTAAAGCCTTGTTTTGATGAACTACATGTATTGAGAGAATAAGTGATTGTTCATATCATAATTATCCATTTAGGAAAGATAAAACTTTATATCCTAGGAATTGACTTGCAATGAACACAGAAATACACACAACACTGTAAGCTTTGGGGAATTTTCATGCAAATGACCTTGATCAATGTACACAGGTTTTGACCTCAAAAACAGCAAAATAAAGGGGAGGGTCTTTTCTAGTAAGGACTTGATGATGGTAGATTTGACCTTCAAAATGATAAATACAGTATACCGGTAGTTTATAAGGAAGAGGTCTTTTTTAGTAAGGGCTTGTTGATTACAGATTTGACCTACAAAGTGATAGATACAGTAAAGTTGAGGCGGGGGACTTCTTGTAAATGACTTGATGATTGCAGATTTGACTTAGGAAGTGATGGATGCATTATAGTTGAGGTGGGGTTCATTTCTAGTAAATGATTTGATGAAAAGAGGTTTTGACCACAGTTAAGATTGAGCCCTTTTAATTAAATGACCTAAGTGAAGATGGGTTTTGACACAGGTAGTGATTCAACACAGTTAAGCTAGGGCCTTTTTAGTGAATGACCTAGGTGAAAACAGTTTTTGACTTAGATACAACACAGTTAAGCTAGGGCCTTTTCAAGTAAATGGCCTTGATGAATGAAGGTTTTGACCTAGATATAGCACAGTTAATCTAGGGCCTTTTAAGTAAAGATCTTGATGAAAACAGGTTTTGACCTAGATGCAAGGGTCACGGTTAAGGTAGGGCCTTTTCTAGTAAATGACCTTGGTGAAAACAGGTTTTGACCTAGATACAGCACAGTTAATCTAGGGCCTTTTAAGTAAATGACCTTGATGAAAACAGGTTTTGACCTAGATACAGCACAGTTAAGCTAGGGCCTTTTCTAGTAAATGACCTTGATGAATAAAGGTTTTGACCTCGATACAGCACATTTAAGCTAGGGCCTTTTCTAGTAAATGACCTTGATGAATGAAGGTTTTGACCTCCTAGGTAGTGATTGGTGGCACTGGTTACTTGCAGGACATAAAATACGTAGGGCTCGCAAATGCAAATCAGGTACAGACTTAGAGGGTGAAATACAGCACGCCTTTAACTGCGATGTAATTATAATTCTGAGATAGTGTTGTCTCCCCTTTTAATGTCACAGCGTATGTGTCCTAACTTTTGACAACCTCATTGTTGAACTTGCACAGGTTGGCGGGCGTCACAGCCAACAAACCAAACATTGTGGCAGTATCATTTAGGTATGAAGGACAATTGTACGACCCTTGCATCCCCGTGCATGACCCTCATCGTCATGGGGATGGAAGGCGTCATTTCTGTTTCTTTACAAGCACTCTGTTTATTTATTTATTTCTAGTATTCTGCAATATTTGCTTTCATAGTGTACATATATTTTTAGATGAGAAAGTACATGCATGTAGGACAATACAATGATTCTTTTGCTGTATTCCTACTTCTGTAGAAATGTATCAGAATTGTAAAGCTAAGCAGTATATAGAGAAATATTTTTGTTAGAAAGTTACTTTTGAACTCATACATAAAGATACTTTCACAATTTTGAGCATTTTTTTTTATTTTGAGCATATTTTTTAATGCAGTTTGGATATGCTTGTTTAATGAATTTGCCTTTCCAGATTAAGTTTATTTCTATTATTTGGAATTTAAGGAAAGGATATGAGTTAGTATTCCCATCAAAATTACCCATAAATGTAATGGCATAGTTCATTAGCAAGCATGTCACTTGTTAATACATTTTGACATTTTTTTTTCTCTCACCAGTCTTTTTTTTACTTTGAGATTATTTTTCTGTTATTAAAATCACTTGTCAGATCACAATGAAACCGACTCAAATAGCGCCAAAACTTGCGTCGAGCTTCCTCCGTCAGTAGTAAGTAAGTAGCAGAGCACATCCCTAGTGTAGTCGTCACAGAAAATGTTTTTGTTGTTGTTGTGGAATGGACATTAAAATTTCCTCAACCATCCCCCCTCCCCAAAAACTTAACCTGAATTTCTTATGAACATTAAAGCCATAAATGTTTAGCTTTGGATGTTTAGTACAATATTATATATATATAACAATTTCATGTTTTGTTAAAATTCTGTTTGCAATTGGTATTAGATAACATCCAGCAATTTGTTTTTAGCTTTTGTGCTGCCTGAATAATTTTGAATAATTGTTAACTTTGATGAATTTATCCCCTCCCCAAATCCCCTTGTTAATTTCTGTCAGAATGAAATTGCAGTGTTTTTGATTTGGGGAAAAAATGTAAAAATATCTATATGTTGCGATATTAATCAATTTGGTGATGGCTATTCATGTATAATACTTTCATAACTATCTTTTAATTAGAGACATGTATATAGAATTATGCACTGGTTTAACATATCTATTAATTCTTTATTAATATTTATTCTGAATCAGTAATGATAATACAAACAAATTCTTAAAAAGGGAAAAAATGGTAAATGATGCAATGTTATTCTGCTCACTAAATAATGAAATTGGTCATTAATTATAGATAATGAATAATTGTAGAAATAAATATCTGCCTGTTGTAATTTCAGACCTGCCACGGGTCTCATCCAATAACGGTCCGCCGGGTTTATCAGTGGTGTCGGCCCCTGCCCCGGTAATGCAGCGACCCGAACTGGCTCGACCTGATGCGAAGTCATCAGGGACATCATCAGCCTTGAGCAGAGGGGGATCTCAACAGTCCATGCCACTGGAGGCACAAATGGGAACAAGCACGCGATCCACAAAATCACAGAGGATCCGGGGGGCATCTAACAGCCTCCGATTGAGACAGCTAGAAATGCGGGAGAATCATGCCATTGTGTTCAGCTGAGACTGTTTTAATCGCAGCAAGTCTGAACTAATGGTGATTTCATGTCAGGTTTGATAACGAGACCATGTGTGTCATTGTGGGACGGCCTGTTCTTTGGACTCCAGGACACGGAATGTTCGGACTGCCCTGAACAGATTTCTGTCTTAACATAAAGACCAACTGTGATAATATCATCCATCCATTTTATTCACACATTTTAACAGATATTGAAGCTCATCTCAGCATGTGATAGGGTATATTTTAAAACTTTCAGAGATTCTTTGACTTCTTTTTTTATTGTGCATTTTTTTTTTTTTTACTTATAATTCATAAGCACATGATCAGAGATTTTATTTATGTGTGAAAGTAACATTTGTTAAAGCAACACTTTCTTTGATTGTAAATAAATCCCTCAGTAATGGCATTGGATGTGTGAAGCTGTGATAAACTGAAAACATTCCTGTTTGTGTTAAAAATGAGTGAGAAATGTGTCTGTTATACAAAAGGAAAAAAAAAAAACACGTGTTATTTTATTTACATTGTTTATATGATGTAGTATTATTGACATCTGCCATCAATTCTATTTTATTTTATGTATGTGTGCCAAACTCTTACTTGGTGAAATAAGAAGTTAAATTTTCTGTTGATCAACAGATAACTTAATTTATTTTCTGTTACTTGTATTTTGTGGAGAGCAAATGTGTGAATGATTTTCCTGATATTTAAGGTAGTTGACACTCTTCTCAAGGGAGGCAACTCTCATTACATTATGGGTTAAGGAGTAGTGAACCGTTAGTGATAAACATCACAACAGCTGTATTGCCCTTTGTGCAGCTTTAGAGCTAAGATTTTATTGAACATCAGTTGGTATTAAATCAAATTGGTCTTGCCAAACATATCAATAGTATTAATGCTGATGGTGTATAGTTTGTGAATTTGTATAGGTTTGTTGTGTTTTAATGGTCATCTTATTGACCCAAGTTTATCTATTTTTCAGTCGATATAAGAATTCAAATTTGTGAGAAGAATAACTTGGGGTAATATTATTATTGCTGAATATTCCATCCATCCATGAACTTAAAAGGTTATTTTTGAATAATTTATTATTGAAAGGGATGTGTCTTTTAAACTAATACTTTGTATCTTGAAGATTTGAAGACATTGAATTAATAAATGAACTCATTATTGATTTGTTTCTGTTTTAGTGTTTCTGTTGATCTAAGGGTGGATTGCCATATTTGCCTCTCAATCACCTCAATTTTGCAATAAAATTAAAGTTACATAGTTGATAATTAAACTTTTAAATGATTATTCAAATACATGTATGTATGAATCATGAATTCATCTTCAATGAATATCAAAAGATACAGAATACAGTTAAACACGCTAATAGCAAACATGCTTATAATGAATTGACACTCACAGTGAAGTGATTTTCATTCCCTTTGACTTTAAAATGTTTTATCATTAAGCCAAATACTAATTGTTAAATCATTATTATACCTCCGCTCCGGAGGAGAGGGGGGTTTATTGTTTCACCCTTGTGTGTCTCTCTGTCTTAGTAGCTGTGTGTCCGTGTGTCTGTCCATAACAAATTTTGGTCACAGTTTTCTCAGCAATTGCTCATCTCAGATGCTTGAAAGTTTAGCACACTCTTTGTTTAGCATGCCATATGGTTGGATTCATTTTTGTGCGAATCTGATGTCCACTTCCTGTTAATCCATGCGTCTGTCCGTACCATACATAACAAATTTTGGTCGCATGCTTGAAATTTTAGCATACCCTTTGTTTAGGCATGCCATATGGTGGGATACATTTTTGTGAGAATACAATGTCAACTACCTGTTTATTAGTGCACTAGAAGGTCTTTCTGTTCCATATACATAACAAATTTTGGTCGCAGTTTTCTCAGCAACTATTCATCGCAGATGCTTAAATTTTAGCACACTCTTTGTTTAGGCATGCCATATGGAGGGATTCATTTTTGTACGAATCTGATGTCAATTTCCTATTTATCCGTGCATCTGTCCGTACCATACATAACAAATTTTGGTCGCAGTTTTCTCAGCATCTACTTATTGCAGATGCTTTAGAGTTTAGCACACTCTTCGTTTCGGCATGTCATATGGCAGAATTTATTTTTTTTTACGAATCTGATGTCAACTTCAGTTTATCCCTGTGTTTGTCCATAAATGAACTTGTGTATTTACATCAGAGCGGGGGTATTATTAGTGAGCATTGGCTCACAGACTTCTTGTTTACAAACTGAATTGTCAACAGATTTTTCTGTTTTTCCCAATCATGACAAGGAGGACATGGTGGATGTGACCTGTTGGGAGGGGATGATCACTCCTCCATGGCACTTGATCCCACCTCTGCTGTTTTAGAGGTCCATGTTTGCTCTGCTCCAGACTGATTTGTATTGTTGGTATGAACTTCTTAGCTTGAATACTGTTCCTTATCTCCATATTTCATTTATAAACTTATGGATACAACAAATTAATTGCTTATGATGAAGCAAAATTCTCCGTCCCTGGAACTTTGTTATAAGCATGTTTTACTGTACTTATATAGGGGATACATGTGAAAAATGTTCTATATGTATATTGTGTGATTCTGTATTTTTTCTTGTTCATCAGTATATAAAATTTCTTAATTATACACGAGTTCAGTCTATATATCACACATATCAAACTCGTCACAATGTTAACAGTTTATCTAAGCTAATGCAAAATTGAGGAATTTTAGTAAATACAACGTCAAATTATTGTTAATTTGTAGTTGGAAAAATTGACACCCCCCTCTTTTTATGCCCCGGGATCAAAAGATCCCCGGGGTATATTGTTTTTGTCCTGTCTGTCTGTTTGTCTATCTGTCTGTTGTCAACTTAACCTTGCCCATAACTTTTGATTGGTTGGAGCTATGACTTTCATATTTCACATGTTTATTCCTTGTGACAAGAACTTTCTTTTGGGTACCATCATATTTGACCTTGACCTTGGAGTTTGACCCACTTTTGCAAAATTTTATGAGACTTTGACCTTGGCCATAACTTCTTAACAGTTGGTTCTTGGGGTTTCAAACTTCACATGTGTATTCTTTGTGACAAGGCCTTCCTTGGGATACCAACAACTTTGACCTTTTGACCTTGACCTTGGAGTTTGACCTACTTTTGAAAAACTTTAACCTTGGCCATAACTTCTGACAGTTAGTGCTTGGGGTTTCAAACTTCACATGTGTATTTCTTGTGACAAGACCTTCCTCTGGATATCAACCTCATTGACCCTTTGACCTTGACCTAGGAGTTTGACCTACTTTTGAAAAATTTTACCTTGGCCATAACTTTTGAATGGTTGGAGTTAGGGCTTTCATACTTCACATATGTAATCCTTGTGACAAGACCTTTTTTGGATGCCAACCACTTTGACCCTTTGACCTTGACCTAGGAGTTTGACCTACTTTTAAAAAATTTTACCTTGGCCATAACTTTTGAATGGTTGGAGTTAGGGCTTTCATACTTCACATATGTAATCCTTGTGACAAGACCTTTTTTGGATGCCAACCACTTTGACCTTGACATAGGAGTTTGACCTACTTTTGAAAAACTTTAACCTTGGCCATAACTTTTGAATGATTGGTGCAAGGGATTTCATACTTCACATATGTAGTCCTTGTGACAAGACCTTCCTTTGAATACCAACAACTTTGACTTAACCTTGATGTTTTACTTACTTTTAAAAAACTTCAACCTTCGCCATCATAACTTTTGAAGAGTTGCAGCTTGGGCTTTCAAATTTCACAGGTATGTTTCTTTGAGTACCAACATTTTTTTTCATTTGGCCTGGATTTTGACTTGCATTTGAGAAACTTTAACCTTCGCCATAACTGCCATACGGGGGCATCAGTGTTTCACAAACACATCTTGTTGAGCATGATTATTATAAGGTTCTTTCCAAATGACCTTTTCTAAAGGTCATGGTAAATCATAATTCAGGTTTTTATTAGCTCACCTCGACGAAGTCTCGATGAGCTTATGCTATACCCCCAGCGTCAGCATTAGCGTCGGCGTCCCGGTTAAAGTTGTAGGAGCAAGTCCATTCCCAAATAACTATAAGCCCTATCTGGACCAAACTTGCATGGATGATGCATCTAGGGATGGACACTACCACACTTGCTTCGGATGCTGGATCTGACCTAGATTTTCTAGATGAGTGACCAAGTTAAAGTTTTTGGAGTAGGTCCATACCCAAGTAACTATAAGCCCTACCTGGACCAAACCTGTGTGGATGATGCATCTAGGGATGGACACTACCACACTTGCTTCAGATGCTGGATCTGACCTAGATTTTCCTGACGAGTGACCAGGTTAAAGTTTTAGGAGCATGTCCATTCCCAAGTAAATATTAACCCTACCTTGAACAAACTTGCAAGGATGCTGCATCTAGGGATGGGCACTACCACATTTGCTTTGGATGCTGGATCTGACCTAGATTTTCCAGATGAGTGACCAGGTGAAATTGTTTGGAGCAGGCCCATTCCCAAGTAAATATTAGCCCTACCTTGAACAAACTTGCATGGATGATGCATCTAGGGATGGACACTACCACATTTGCTTCGGATGCTGGATCTGACATAGATTTTCCAGATGAGTGACCAGGTTAAAGTTTTTGGAGCAGGTCCATTCCCTAGTAACTATAGGCCCTACATTGACCAAACTTGCATGGATGATGCATCTAGGGATGGACACTACCACACTTGCCTCAGATGCTGGATCTGACCTAGATTTTCCACATGAGTGAATTTTAGCCATATTTTAACCAAATTAGCATGGATGATGTAGCTAGGGATGGTCACTTCCAGACTTGCTTTGGATTCTGAATCTGACCTATATTTTCCTGATGAGTGACCAGGATAATTTTTTGGAGTAGCTATATATTATTATGGCCTGTTATTGGATGATTAAACTTGCATAGATGGTGCATCTAAGGATGAAAACTTCCAGACTTACTTTAGATGTTGGAACTGACCAAAATTTTCTTGATTAATAAACAGGATAAATGTTTTTTGAAAAGCTCTATTTCCAAGTACATGTGACTATAAGTCGCACTTTAACCAAACATGCATGGATATTGATCTTGGGATGTACACTAACTAAAAAAGAATATGATGTGAAATTTGCCTTACTTAAAGATAACATTCGTCGAGGTGAGCTTCGTAATCTTTGATTACCTATGTTTTTTCTCTGACAAAGATATTTCAAATGACAATGAGTCAGGTTTTAAAATGCATTCTTGTCATAAGCCATCTTTCTAAATTTATGTTGTTAACTTTTGAAAATTATGAACATGATTTAAGTTTCAGACAGACATTTGGCAGATCCAGCAATTCCAGAGTCAGTTGGGGTGGGACAATCTTTTAAAAAGGTTAAATGACAACAAAAACTTGCAATACTTGTAGTTAATGATTTTTTAAAAATTGATATGCCTCCTTTTTTTGGAAATTGAAAACAATTTGGCATTCATTGCCATACTACTGGCAACATTGTCAGATCCAGACTTTTCACGGACTGAGTTAACGTTCCTGGTATTTAATTTGTGATTGTATCCACTCTCGCTAGGTGAAAACGCCATACCTGAAGAAAGGACACTAATGAAACATCAGAAACGATTGTTGTATGAATTAGAATCACTGGAAAATATGTTGACATATAAAAAAATCTAGGTTTGTAAACGGCGAACTATACTAAGTATTCTGTCTTTCTCACCCACTGAGCAAAAATTGAAATATTAAACTCTGTATTCAGTTTTAACAAACCGACGTTGGCGTAAATACAATAATTAGAACATGTCTATAAATAACGAAACTATAAATTATATATGTAGAAAGACAAAAAATTTTGTGTAAATTTCGATTTATCTACAGTAGGCACCGTCTTACCAGGGACTTGTATCACTTAGTATCTAGGTTCCTGGTCTTAAGCATGGCCGTAGGAACCGGGGGGGGGGGGTGTCCCCCAATAATTTTGCCGATATATAGATTACTATAGAAAAAAGAACTACTATATGCTTGTGCCCCCTCAATAAAAACGTCTTTTTTTGGGGGGGGGGGGGGGGCTTGTCAAGGAATTTTGGTTGTTAGTGCCCCCTCAACTGAAGATGTATGGTTGTGCCCCCCTCCCCCCCCCAAAAAAAACTGAAATTGCTTCCTACGGGCCTGTTACGTGCAAATTTTAATTTAATGAATTTTTTTTATTTGTGTCTGGACATTGAAATATGAAAACTGTATCCCAACTGAAATTTTATTTCACATCTTTGAGGACCCCCCCCCCCATTTTTCCTCTCACAAATATCACGATTGCTTTTGTCAGTCTATTTACTCTTGGAATTTGATTTAATACAATATAAATACCTTTTAAAAAAGAATTTATTGCATATAGATATTGAAATATGGAAATATGGCCACAACTGGAACCTTATTTTCTATCTTTGCCACCCCCCCCCTTTTTTTTTCAAATACCCCGATTTCAGAAATGATTGCGATAATCATTTAGATATGTAAATCATGATAATATTTCTGAAGTCATTGACACGTTGAATTATTTTATCCGTTTCAAGATAGGTTCGTTTTCGTTAACAAAGCATTCCAGTAAACGACAAATCGATCTACACAACCTGGCAGTGTAAACTTGCATACATAGATTTGTTTCAAAACGAAATTCAAGCATACTGAAAGCTCCATAACAGCGTTTCCACCGCCAAATGCACTGTACGTGTTTGGTTCAGTATACTGAATGCTAGAATTAATTTTTTTTAGTTTGGTCGGGGAATAGGAGTGCATTTCTTTGCTCTTATGTGTTTTTCTAGTTTAGCTTGGTAAAATAAGTTAGGCATAAATAATAAGAAGACTGAAAACCTGAAAATGGAACCGAATCTGAATAAATATACTATATGTACACTAACATGTATTAAAATATATCCCTGGTAAAACTAAATAAATATTAAATAAATCAATAATAAATAAATAAATTTATCCTGCATTACATTAAAATTGTCCAAACTAGAAGATCTTAAATATGGGGGAGGGGTGAACATTTTCATACAGTACTACTTAGGTAAAAGTAAAACATAATGTTTGTTTTTTTATTAAGTGCTTGGGGAAAGGCCCTCCTCCCCTCCTGTCCCCTCCCTTCATCCGATACTAGGTGCCTGCGACTCCAAGGCAATCCCTAAAAAATACTCTGACCATAAAAAGATTGAGACCGGGTTGTCGAATTGAAATAGGATCGGGTACGGAATACTAATTTTGTTCGAATTTTCTCTGTAATGCCGAGTGATGGAAAAGTTGGGAGTTCATCGAGATGCTACTCAGCCTATGTCAGTGCGTGAGTTTTTAGAGTCTTGGGATGTGTCCGCTGTACCAGGTATAGTGAAAACCTCCACAGATGACGAGGAAGCAATGTTAAAGACCCTGTCCTCCGAGATGAACATTCCAATGGAAACTTTAATAGAGTTAAACGGTGTCTGTGGGTAAGTCTTCAATCGTGATGGTCATATTTGATTAAGTTGTTAAATAAGGAAACAGAGGCACACACATACTGTAGGCATAAATGTAAAATATCTACAAGTCTTTTGTATTTTCATTCATAAAATGCCAAGAAAAAGGATTGAAATCACAAACACCAGATCGAGTTATTTAACATGTTTAATCTGTAAGTTAAAAAATTAAATATGTATGTCAGAAATGCTCAGTATGTTTGACAACCGCTTTATCTTAATTTACAAGAAACTTTTTATGCATACTATTTTCATGATTTTTTTTCCCAAATTTTAAACATGTTCAGTTTTGCAATTTTCACCCTAAATAATGAGTTGTGAAACTTTAAAAATTAAATTTCTTAAACATATTTAAGAAAATTAATGATTATTCTTTCACAGGGAATCAACTTTGAAAAGCAAGGATGAACCCAAACAATCAGAGTTATTAGGAAATATACCTCCTGATGCCAATCTAATGACTCTGAGGTAGGTATCGAGTAGGACCCTGGTGTATGAAGGTGAGGGCTTGTCCCGAGACATGGTTAGATTATTCTAACTAGATTCCTTCCTACCTAATTCTGTAATTGAACTATTCTTTTAAACCTGCAGATATCTCAGATATTGTGGTAAACTGGCAATAGCAAAGTAAATAAAATGCAGGGTATCTGGATAAGGAATTGAATTCAATTTTCATTATATTCCAGTGAATTCACAGAGTCGTTGTTTCACAATTTATCTTCCAATATTCATGTGTCATTGAAATGGAAACAGGATGCCAAAGTGTTACATCATATTACAATGAACCTGTAAGAGAAGATGAATTCAAAGTACAACATTTAAAGTTCATATAATTTTATGATGTCAAAGGACTTAATTACTTAAGGAATAGCTGTCTAGTTTTTTGGTTTTGATGTGATCAAGCAATTGGCTTGCATGATTGTTTTCATAAAGGCCAAAGGGGTTTATGCATAAAATTGTCATGAGAGCCAATCGCTTGATCATCATCATAAAACCAAAAAACCTGACAGTTATCCCTTATATTTACATGATTCTGTAAATTCACGTGCTCAATCCAAGCCCAGCACATTTCTCTTTCTCTGACCTGTGCTCAGCATGTGATTATTTTAAACCATGCCTATCAATGAACTAAAAGCTTTATGAAGAAATGAAGGGTTTTTTTATCATTTGGACAAAGAAATTTTAAAAGGAAATATATAATGATAATTTACACTTCCTGTTACCTTAAATCATGGAGCTATGCATACAATATTGTCCATAATTCATTAATGTCTTATTCTATCTGTATGTTTACCTTCATGATTTTATGACTCTATATATGCAAAAAAAAAAAAGTATTGCTTAGGAAAATTTAACATTCACTCATCGAGAAATATTACAGTATATTATAATTATTTTAATTTAGGTCATTTTAATATTCATTTATCCTGGTGACATTTATGATATGAAGTCAAAAATTTACCATACCATAAAAAAAGAAAAATTTATTTCTTGAATGATGCATAGGCACAAAATTTTAACATGTTTGATATACAAATATTTACAGTGTTAATTCATTTTGTTATCAAATTATTATTCTTCAAGTGTATACTTCATATTTGATAAGGTCTGATGGCATGGTTATATTAGGAAGGTCTGATTTATGATTTTAGGGCACATCAGGAGGAACTACATCATCGTCAGCAGAGCTTTAACTACAGGACCCTCATTAAGCGAGCCATGAGAATGCAGAAGTGTGATTTCTTAATGGTTTGTGTCTCCAGTTTAAAAATTATGGTTCAGTAATGTTAAATACAATTTAACACATAAGTTTCCTCCAGAAAGCAAATGACATACTACAAGTATAGTAGATCACTTATTAATATTTCATATTATTTTATGTTTACTATATACATGTAGTAATTATTTGTGAGAAAAAAAATGAAAGTTATTTCCCTTTATAACTGACATGAACTAATTTCCAAATTAAAACACTACAAAAACAAATTTCTTCTGTACGAAATGAAGTTTACAGAATATTTTATCACTGCTGTTGTGTTCAATTTTTCTTTGTAAAGTGATCTGGTTTCATTGGTATCTTGCATCTTTTGTAGAATTTTTCACCGACAGATGTAAACACGAACAAAGAAAAGTGTCCTGAGGAGTATCGTGTCCAGCATCCAGATGTGATAATAACGGTCCATGTACACCAGCCTAACAACACGAATCAAGGCTTCAACATGAAGGTATGGATCCTAAACATATCAAGTTATCTGTTTCAGATTAGCAGGGAAATATTGTTGAAATTCATCATCTCTTATTAGCTCTGTTTGATTAAAAGTGATAACTCTATCATTTGTGCATTCAAAGATATAAATAAAAGATTTACAACTCTACCATTAATATGTTTATTTGCTAAAATATGTGCATTTTAAATCCTAAAAAATACTCCTTATTGATTACTCTTTATGATTTGTAAAGTGTTTAAATTATTTATTGATCATTAAAAGCAAACTAAGCAAATCAAAGAGGTCACTGATCGAAAATTGGTAAAATCTTGGAGATATGGTTGACCACAAGTCCCCTGTTGCTATTTCTGATTTCTCTTTAGTTATTGCATTAAATAAAAAAATATAGCCTTCTGAATAAATTGCTAATATAAAAACATGTATAAAGATTTTATTTCATTATTTATGATAATTTAAAGAATTACATGATTTAAATTGTGCAAGATTTAAACAAAGTTGCTTTAAATACAAAGCTTTCAGAAGTCCTTAATGAATTGATTGATTTTCTTTCCAGTTGTCCCTTGATCAGACCATTCTAGTGCTGGGGTGTGAGAAGCTGACAGACCTTAGAGACAAAATCACCTGTGTTAATGATTTAGCTCTGGCAGGAGACCTTAGTGAAAACCCAGACTTCACTCCAGAACACTATGCTAAGGTTTTTGGTTTAAAAAGATTTTTTCTAACAATTAAGTTTTACAGATAATTCCTACATGTGACACTGTCGCATCTGCATAAAGGATGGGCATTTCATTGTCTGTTGATTTTGATTTATTCTATATTTCTTATTTAGAACCACTAGTATCAGGTCAATTTCAACCATAATTATCTGAAAGCCTCTCAAGTAAATAGATTTAAAATCATTGAAATCAAGGGTCATAATACTGTCCCAAATGGGAGGTAGTTTTAAAAAGAAATCAAAAAAAAAAAAAATAGATTTTGGATGCATCCAACAACCTTTGAAGATGCATTTAAGCTGAAATTTTTGAAAATTGTAAAAAAAAAAAAAAAAAACCCAACAAAAACATAGAATCTCAAATCACCACATAGCATCAATAAATATATGTTAAGATATATTAATCACAAGCACTCTGGTGCTTGCATGTGTACTCCCACTAAAGGTATGCACACATTGTTTGAAAATTACCTGTGTTATATCCTCCAAAAACAGAGAATAAGTTCACTCATAATGCATTGCAATTTACCATTTATGGTATAAAGTTTGGCAGCCATATTGAACTTGAATGCCCTCAGAAATCAGAGGCTGTCTAGACATGAATGTGGCTGAAATCTCACCAAATCAGACCGAAACCCTAGATAATTAACCAATCAAATGACAACAATATGGTTTTATTCTGTCATGAAAGACATTTTAAGGTATGTCACTTGTGAAATTTGTTATATCAAGGATTTTTTGAGAAGTATATTTTGGATAAGTACTGATATAGTATGACTCAAAATCGCTGAGAAAAAGGTGGGTCAATGTGCATCTAACTGAGCTACGGTACAATTAAGTTGACCTTTTTGCACTTAAATTGTAACTCGTTGGTTAATCACTTTAACCGTTATCATATTTTATCAGATGTAACCATGGCAATAAACATAATCTTATTTTACATAAAATAGTTTGAATAATATTTATCACTGAACAAATCATGCAAATTAATGCACTAAAAAAGTCTCATATTTGGGGTATTAAAAATCTAAATAGGCAATAGAATAATTTCTGGTATCAAACTTTTTACGACTTAAGTGCTGATCAGTCAAAAGTATCGAGTAGTTTAAAATAATGAAAGAAAAAGTTGGGGTCAGTGATGTAAATTTTGAAATATTGGTCAAAATATGGATTTTCTGGCAAAAAACTGTGTAAATTTTATCTCGACTTCTTTAATATATCTTCATTTTTTGGCAAAGTTTGTTGAGCGAAGGTGTAAATTTTGTTATAAAAATATAAATTGAGACCTATATTTAATATTCCAGGCATATCATAACGGAAAATATTCCCAGAGTTAAAGTATGTGAGGCTAAAGTTCCAAGATATTAAATTTAATAAATGTGTAGATTTGCAGAATTTTCTGCTTAATATCCTTCCACCACAAGAAATAGTCCCTTACAAATCTTGCTTCTTTATGATTTTTTTTTAGCAGTTTTTTAATTGAATGTGAACATTTTAGATTGTTTAATTGAAATATGTTATAAAGATTGAATTGTAACAAATAGTTTTTAAGTAAGAGGTTCTGACTGAACTTTTCTAAAAGGCTGATGAGTGACATACCTTAATGCAGTTATTTAGAGTTAATTCCCTTGGAGGCATTCTTTTTCTTAATCTCATGAAATTTTTGGGTACAATTTTTGAAATTTAAAACAAGTAATGCTACCATGTACATTTACATATCATCATGACAATGTCTTTGTCAGAATGATCAGAGTCATTTTTGTCTTAAACCACACTTCTGCTCCAAGATCTTGTGCTAAAATATGTCAATTGGTTGTGGTATTGTCTCCAATTTGTATGCTTAACATGTTTCCAATACAAAAAAGTTCCTATACCACAGGTAATTGAGATAGTGACATCTATTATATGTGGTATTACATTTAATTTCAGTCAACCATTTCAAATAATTTAACCATATTAATTAACTCATACTTTACATGTATATTTATTCAGTATAATGATAATGCAGTTTGTATTTTCAAAATCATTCTAGAGATGGATCTTGGTTTTCTCATCTGTTTTTTTTTTCTATTGACATGATCGAGGAGAATTGTACATAAAGTACATTATTAATTGTTATAAATTTCAAGAGGTAAATCTTGTTTACTGTAGTTATCTACATTTGTGATGGATTTTATTGCAGCTATTTGTTTTTTTCTCTTGTCTGTTTCCCTATTGAGCAACAAACAGATTGTCATTTGTATTTGCATTTACACAGTCCATGGGGTTCACTCAGTCTACAGTCTATGATGTGTAGAGTGTATACGATAAATTTATATTTTGACTTGTTTTATTCTTCTGTGAATTCTTTAATTATGACTTCACTGTAGGTATTTGATTTCCTTCACTTGTTTGTTTCTTAATTGCGCAACAAACACATTGTCATTTGTATCTGTACACAGTCCCCAGGGTACACTCAGTGCACAATCTATGTAACAGAGGAACTGTCCATCCTGGTCTATGATGTGGACACAGTCATTGTTAACATCAGCTGTAAGGATGTGACTCTGACTGTCTGTGGTGATTCCTCGTGGATTGAATGGTTTGTTCTTTAGAGCAGGAGTATGTCCAGTGTACCTGAATCTCAGTTTCCCAGCCTGATTGACCACCACTACTGCTCCAGCTTTACTGTCAGACACACAGATATCCAGGTTTTTGTTCTCAGTTATGTTTCTTAGATAATAAGAACTAGTAGGTGAATAAAGAGGTTTACCTTTATCATCAAACTGAATGGTTTGTTTCTCTGTGGAGCCAGAGTAACGGACAACTTTTGATTGTTTGTTATCATTACTGTCCATGATAACCAGGAGGTCACCAGAGGAGGTACTACAGACACCTTGAGGTTTCCAGTTCTGTAGTCTGATCACCTCCTCTATCTTCTCATTCTTCACAATGTTCACTGTTCTATCCCAGTAATCAGTATAAACTAGATCTCCACTTTCTGTCACTGCTGTGTTCCGTGGTATGTTCCCTGACTTGGTTGTGATTGACTTGAGTAGTGATCCCTGATTGATGCTGTAGAGTTTCATGGTGCTGTCATCTCCACTTGTCCAGATTTCTTCATCACTCAGACAGGCCACATTGTATAGCCATTCATACCCAAAGTGTATGGTGGTGACAGTCTCTGGTTCATCAAGCAGTTGTTTGACTGGAGGAGAGGATCCAGCTTCTGGTGATTTCTGTGTTGTCTTCATGCTGTTGCCGTGTTTATCTGATGTTAAAGAACTTGATGATAAGACTCCAAATAGTTTACAAAGCTCTCCTCCTTGGATTTTTCCTGGTGTAAAGTTCGGTAAAGATGGTGTAATTTTTTGTGGTACCTTTCTATATTTTTCTATGTCAGATTTAACACTATAGACTTTGCAAATGTCTTCAGAGGCTACAGCATTCTCAAGTGAATTGATTTCATCCTTGATGTCAGATATTGTCTTGTTTATTTCATCCAGATGTTTCTGTAGAGTTTGTAACTGTGTGTTTTTCATCTCATCAACTTCAGCTTGAAGTTTCTTGACAAGTTTGTCAATTTCTCTGTGCCAGTCCTCTCCATGTTTTGTTATAACTGTTGAGAGATCTCCATATTCTCTTTCTAACTGACTCATTCTGTTTTGTACATCAGAGGCAATGTCCTGGTAGGTTGGATAAACTGTTTCCTTTAATTCAGTTTGTTCTTGGATGATGCTGTCCCTTTTTTCATCCAGGATTTGTAACATTTCTGATAATCTGTGACCTAAATGTTGATCAGATACAAGGCACTTAGTGCAGAGAGGAATATCACATTTTTTACAATACATTTTACATCGTTCTTTTTTATGAGTTGTACATAGAGGGTAGATGGGAGTGGATTTTCTGGCTTGAAAAGTGACAACTTTGTGATTAATAGATTGATCAGATATCATATGTTTTCCTACACAAGCTGTACACAGGTTGACAAGACATGTATCACAGTGCATCTGTACCACAGCGGTCTCGCACAGGTCGCATCGCATCACATCCTGGGCACTGGTTCGAGGGTCCATATTCAAACCTTGGGCCCTGAAATTGAAATATATGTAATGTGAATGATACAAATAGATAATTCAAGTATCTCAGAGAGTTTTGTTTACAAGTTACACTGAATCAGAAAGATTCTTAACGAGGTTCGCTCCTGAGCTTTTGAGCAGATTTTTGTCTTAACCTATATTTCAAAAATTCTGCATAATGTTTTAGTTCTTACAATAAATTTGGATTTTACAATACTAATTAAACTATATTCAGTTAAAACTCCATGATTAAATTCCATACCAAAAGCATTAAGTGAGGAATTATATTTTGTGGCGGAAGGTTTTTTTTAGAAGAAAATGATCATTTTTTCTCTTTCAAATAAAGTATGTTAAGTTTGGATTCATATTTTTACATGCAGTCTGCACACAGAGTTATTCTGTGCCATGGACTATTTTATGCTGGTCGTAAATTATTTGATAAATAAACTATCATGAATTCTATCATCATATTTGATAAATATAGCAAATATATTGTGAAAATCCAGAAAAAATAGCCCTAATTTAAGCTTAAAATTAGCACTATTTTAGTAATATCTGAAAATTAACATCACAGACCTCCATTTTTAATTTTCTTTTCCGAGTATATAAGACACTTTTAACCATTCTTCTCAAATTCAGTAAAATATCATTACTTTCAAATGATCTTATTGCTTGTTAAATATTTAATGCCAGAAAAAAGATATTTTTTGAGTGCAAAAAGGTCAAATAATTGAACATGCGAAGTAATTTGAAAATCTTTTGTTGTCTCAAATTTCAATGTGTCTATTCAAGATGAAATAAGACTGTGTTTGTGTTCCCATAATTTATTTGAATAAAAATATTGGAGGAAAAACTTTAAAAATTGATTTATGTGTAAGACGTATTTACAGTGCAAAAAGGTCAAACTAAATGCTCTGTAGCGCCAAAAGAAGTGCATTGACCCCCATTTTTTGTTTCGATTTTTAAGCTATGTGTGTAGATTCTAAAAATATACTTGATTAAAAATTCTCATTACTTTCGATGACAGGATCCAACCTCCTTAAGTCAAGTTTACTACTGGTATTACTCCATTCCTCTTACATTGTTCTATAATTTCAGTCTGGTTATAATGTGGTATTATTTTAATTTAATTCTGGTTATAACATGGTATTTGACTGGATAAAAAAATACTTTATATTGTATATATTGGATTTCCTACGTCACACTGACTTGCATCACAAACATATCGATCTGCCTGACGTTTGTACAATTTGAAGTCATTTCTTTTAGGGCAATCATTTTTTTCTTACACTAATTGAATAAGGAATGAAATTAATAGCTGTCCAATTTATACGGTATGACCTGAGTTGGAACAGTTTATGCCTTTTTATAAACCACTTCGCAGTTGAATATGTTTTTAACTGAAGTAATTTTAAATTCTATCCTTCTGTTTTGTGTGTGAGGGTGTGTGTGTGTATATGTGTTTGTGGGTGGGTGGGGGTAAAGATAGAATTGTGAGTCAACTGCAGTGCAGATACAAATATTATTAATGTAGAATCTCCCATTTGTGAACAATGTTTACCTAGACTGGTACAGAAGTATGATTTTAACCTTAACAAAATATTACTCCGAGCCAAAGCATATTGCTGGCATTTGATAGACCTACTGGTAACTCAAAGGACAATAATAATTCAATAATTGGGGTCAGGTTATATTATTTGACACACACCCCTCCCTCGTTTTAAATGCTTTCCTATACTTGTAGTCAGTACATATTTCTTATATTTAGTTCTGTAAGTGTTTCAAACAACCCCACCTAACATCTCTTTAAGAATTTAATAATAGGAGATACAGTTGTAATTTGATACAACTTGTTCATTTGAAGATGGATAAACAAAAATGCTAAGTAAAGAAAGTATTACCTGACTTCAGGCAATAATGGCGGGTGTCCTGTTGATGTTAAATCTAAATATAGATGTCTCTATGCACTTAGATCACATGACACCTGTATTCATTACCTGTGAGGTATTTTACTTCCTTGTTAATGTATACTTATAATGTATATTTAAATATTAGCTGACAATCTGCTGTTTTTGTTGTGCTTTAAAACATGCTGTATTTATGCTGATTAAATATACTAACTTTAAATATGATACAGAAAACAAATGTTTCGAAAAAAAAAGGGGGGGGTGTCCATGAATATCTGCCATCCTACATAAGCATTGAGTCATACACTCGTTTTGGAAAATTATCAGCAGCTGCTTCTCTGAAATGGTAGAGCAGATTTTAACTAATTTGTATAGATGGCATATTGGAAAATTAAAAAAAATGTTAATATCATGGGCCCACTCCACTTGGAACCTGAGTCAACCAACTTGTGAAATTCATACCTTTGTGTCCAGGGGGCTTTGGTTCAGGCTCTTTAGTTAGGCAACATTGGATATGTGTTGAAAATACTTGACTACAGTCTTTAAAGGATTCTTTTGGGGGAAACTGCTTGGTCAGGTGTGATATTTGAAAAAAAAAAACCCAATAATTGTTTTAAGGAATCTACAGTATTTTTACAAGTGAAGGTATACATGTATACTTAATAGCATCTACGAGACAAGATTCAAACAATATGTCATAACAAACACAAGAGGTACTGCTCACGGTAGCCTAGTGGTAGAGCGTTCACTTTGGGATCAGGGGTCCAGGTTCAATTCTTGTTTGCCACGCCGCTTCAAACCTAAGAATTACAATATAGATAGTGACTGTTCCTTCACCAAGAGCTTGGCACTAGAAGCGAAAGTCACTGGTCTTTCTGAAGAAACCGAGGTCTCATGTCAAGGTAGGCATTGGCATGATAAAGAACCCTCACCTTTTAATGGCCCTTGGTGCTGAGTATAGGCCTAAATTTGAAGTTCTTCACCAGTATATGGTGACATCTCTGTATGAGTGGAAAAATTTTCGAATGGGACATACAAAACAACATACAATCAATACAAACACAGAGTCACCCTGAATTTTAAATTCATATCACAGAGTTCAGAATACTTTAATCCAGAAATCCAGCTTCTGTTAGTGTCACATTACATAAAGAATCGACAATATTTAACCGTTTCTCTAATTATTAATGTTCATTTCAATTTTTCTGTTTTGAATATGTCTTTACCTATTTCTTTTTATTACAGGATCTCTACAAATCTGGGTTTTTCTACATTGAAGGTTGTTTTTACAATGATTTTCGTGACAGTGGTGCAATTGACTACAGCCAGTAAATAATTTTTGTTAATTTTTCAAGAACATGTACATATTGTACATAATCTGGTAGAAATGTCAAACGTGTTCAGCATTTTCAAATGGCAAATTAAAACTGTAGATATTTAAGTATGAAAAAACCTAAAGTTTGAAAAAAAGGCAGTAAATGATATCTTTCTTTCTTTCTTTTTATTAGTAGTGGAGGGGGGGGGGGGGCAGTTTGTTGAGTCAACGTAAATTTATTTTAAAAAGCGAGTTTGTTTTCAGAGTGATTCGTGACTGGGCCAAGGACCCAACCAGGGAAATAGGACCCATGCAGACAGCTTCCATGGAAGACACATCATTCCTGGACCTGACCCTGAGACTGGGACAACCCTACGTTTACATGCACCAGGGGGACTGTGAACACCTCATTGTCTTCTCTGATATCAGGTGCCTCAATAGATTTTCAACCCATGCTTAGAAAAATGTGGAAAGTTACCTGAAATTATTTTATACTTGAATCATAAGTCTGGAGGTTTTCATATGACCTCTTTTTATTTAAGAGAAGAAAAATCTTGATTTTATTGTATGAAAGATTGTTTTTTTAGTTGCATGTAGCAGATTTAGAAACAAAAAGAAATATCAATTTTATAAGTTGTAATATATTTATAAGTATAAGCTACAAACATGCTTACCAGTTCAATAATTCGCATGCATTTTAAAAGCATTCAATTCATTGTAGGATATTAAGTCCTCAGGATACACAAGATATCAGAGAATATCCTCTAGTAACACACAAACGTCTAAAGAACCAGACCAAGTGCAGGGTCTGCCAAATGCATGCTTCAAGGTAAAGCATTCAAAACAATTTATAGCAATTAATGCACCATTATTTAGATTGGCAGAAAGTATTTATTGATAATTGAGCTGTATTTTGTTATTCAATTAGTTATCCTTTATTTTGTTGTTTAATCAGTTTTCCTGTATTCTAGGTGGATGGCATACAACAGTGAGCATGCTCCTGAGGATCCCAGCTTTTTCTGTGAACAGTGTTTCCGAGCTCTACACTACGACCAACATGGAAACAAGATAGGCAATTTCCAGGCATTTAGATTCTTTGACAGTAATTCAGTTATATAGTGCCTCAAGGGAACAACAAGGCATTCAGATACTCTGACAATATTTTAAAGTCCTTGCAGTGCCTGCCTCAAAGAAACCTCCAGGCATTCGGATTCTTGACAGTGCTTCAGTGCCTATATATAGCTACCTCAAAGAAAACTCCACATACGAGACAGCACTTCACAATTCAGTGATATGGAAACTCCCTCAAAAGAACAACAAGATATTTTGACAGTTAATCAGCTATATAATTCTTGTCTTAAAAGCTGCCAAGTATTCAGATAATTTGGCATAAAAGTAGTAAAGTGGCTCATGTACATTGAGAAGGGAATTCATATATTATAACCAAGAATTAAGAGCTGCACAGGTCCTGATCAGTTTTGAATTGCTAGCCATCATTAACACAGTAATGTACTGAAATGACAAGATTTGACACTCATCTAACTTTAATACCACAAAGTGTTCTTAAAACATAAAACATAACAGCTATGCAGTTCTATGTGAAGAAATTAAAATTATAAAAATATATGTGAGCTGTTTTGCTTTAAAATATTTATCTCATTCATATTAAATAATTGTTAAGGCGTTTCACTATTAGCAAAATGATTTTAAATACATTTCTTTTCCGTTTATCATTTTCAACTTGTATCTGTTCCATTACTTATTTTTTCATCTGGATCACCCCATTCCGAATTTGCATTTTCTCATCAGGTTACATTTACATATATTGATAATTGTGTTAATTAATATATATGCACATCAAACAAATCATTTTTGTCTTTTAATGTAATCTACATTGATGATGAATTTTACTGCAGCTAGGGTATTTGATTTTCTTCAGTTGACTACTATTATATTGAACAACAAACATATTGTCATATCTATGCACAGTCCCTGTTGATCACTCACTCCACAGTCTATGTAACAGAGGAACTGTCCATCCTGGTCTATGATGTGGACACGGTAATTGTTAATATCAGCTGTAAGGATGTGACTCTGACTGTCTGTGGTGATTCCTTGTGGACTCGATGGTTGGTTCTGTGGAGCAGAAGTATGACCAGTGTACCTGAATATCAGTTTCCTGGCCTGTTTGGCCACCACTACTGCTTTAGCTTTACAGTCAGACACACATATATCCAGGTCTTTTTTCTCAGTAAGGTAGTTCTGATGACAGGCATAGAGACATTTACCTTTATCATCAAACTGAAATGTTTGTTTTTTTATGGAGCCAGAATAACATACAACTTTTAATTGTTTGTTATCATTACTGTCCATGATAACCAGGAGGTCACCAGAGGAGTTACCTTTAGACACCTTTAAGTATCCAGTTCTGTAGTCTGATCACCTTCTCTATATTCTCATTCTTCACAATGTTCACAGTTCTATCCCAGTAATCAGTATAAACTAAATCTCCACCCTTTGATACTGCTGTGTCAAACATAAACGTAAAATACATGTATATACAAGCCTTGTGCTTTCATTTAAAAAATGCCAAATAAAGGGATTGAAATCACATACACCAGAGTAATCAGGGCTGAAGTTAATGTGTATCTCGGCAATGTTCAATTTGTTTAAACAACAGCTTTATTTTTGCAAGAGACTTTTACACATAACTATTTTTATGCCCCGCCATCAATTTTGCTGGGGCATATATAGTGTTTGTCATATCCGTTTCCGTCTTTGCGTTTGACCTTCTGTCACACTTTGCATTAAGTTCAGTTTCAAAGAAACTATTCAAGATATTTTTTGTCAAACTCCATATGCTGATACATATTGATGAAAGCTATTCAAGTGCATCAACATTTTTTTTACTTTAACCTTTCATATGATCTCGACCTCACTTAAGTTTGTGTTTAGGTTAATTTTAAAGAAATTATTCAAGATATTTTTAACAAACCTTATATGCTGATACATATTGATAATAAACTATTTAACTTCATCAACATATTTTGGTCTTGACCTTTCCTTTTATCTTGACTTCACTTTTCTAAAATTTGTGTTTAGCTACGTTTCAAAGAAACTATTCATGGTATTTTTTTTTTATCAAACTTCATATGCTGATACGTATTGATGAGAGCTATTCAAGTGCATTAACATTTATGACCTTGACCTTTTAATCTGATCTTGACATCAAATTTGTGCTTAGCTCAATTTCAAAAAGACTATTCAAGATATTTTTATCAAACTTCATATGCTGATACATATTGATGAGAGCTACTCCAGTGCATCAACGTTTTGACTTTGACCTTTCCTTTGACCTTGACTTCTAATTTGTGCTTAGCTCAATTTCAAAGAAAGTATTCAAGATATTTTTATCAGATTTAATATACTTTTACACATTGACGAGAGCTATTCAATTCCATCAACATTTTGACCTTGACCTTTCCTTTAAACCTTGACCCTACTTTTCTAAAATTTGTGTTTAGCTTAGTTTCAAAGAAACAAAGATATTTTTATGAAACGTCGTATGCTGATACATATTTAGGAAAACTATTCAACTTCAACATTTTTGATCCTCTACCCCACTTTTCTCTTTCTCAAAGGATGACTGCACTTAACGCCGGTTTTGGGGTCTTTTTCGGTTGCTTCTGTTGCTCTTATATCTTAACCTTATTTCACTTTTGTATGTTTATGAAAAAATCCTGTCAATTAGGAACCAAATTTAAATCTTAAAATGATTTTAGACTGTGATACAATAAAATTATTCAATGTTTTTTGTCCTTACTGCTTTCCAAATATAGAGAATTTACATTTACCTGCCCTTGATTGACCATTAAATATGCATGAGAGGTGGAGCTAACATTGTAAGAATGGGTCTAAAATTAGACAGATGACTTAACGTGTTCGAACACAATGTCCTAGTTAGCACAAAACATACTACATTTGTATCTCAAAGTCACGTGACGGAATTTAGTATTCACAAAATTACCTGAGGTAAGAAATCACGTGGTGAATTATAATATTCAACATGTCACAACCCTTGGTTACAACACAGAGAGCGAATGTAAGAAGAGACAGTTTTTTTTCTTTTTTTAACTATGAGCGCATGTTTGTCTATTAACCTCTTTTTGACGTATTTATTATTCATGCAAATATACAACTACTGTTAAACGTAGAACAACAGACAAACATGTGCTGACTATGTATGAAGTCAGTAAAAAAAGTGGGCGTCCTCATTATCGAACTGAGATTCAAGAAATTGTGATGACCCCTGCCTTTGAAAACAGATTCGAACTTTGTAAACACACACTTTTATTGAACGTAATTCCATAAAGTTGTAGGTTGGATGTTGGCCATTCTTGCAATGAAAAGAAAAATGCTTGTTTTGAAAGTTTATTTTGTAACAAATTTCGCATTTTCTTAAGTGCAGTCATCCTTTGTGTTAAATTTAAAAGTGTATAAGATATATAAGCTTAGCACTGAGACAATATTTTGTGAGAGGTGATAAACTGTGTCCAAGTTTATTTTTAACCTTGACCTTTCCAATGATCTTTGACTCTACTATTTATTGTTATTTAACTCAGTTTAAGAAGTTATTCAAGGTATTTTCATCAAACTTCATTCACTTGTACAAATGTTCATGTTGCATTACTTATAAGTCCTTGGCGGGACATTCATTTTTGCATGGTTTTATTCTGCCTCGAAAGGGAAAATGAGGATTTTTACCCTATATCAGGTTTTTTTCCGTGTGTATCCAATTTCCGCTTTGTTTTCGAACCACAGAAATTAAATAAGCGTAAAATTGATACAAAGTTTTTTTTTTTTGTAATAGAGTTATCTCTCTTTGCTGATATATTAGTATACAAGTAAATAAAAGTACGGTGAACTGTGTTCAGTAAGTTGTTTTCTGTGTGCTTTGTTTTCCTCCCATATAAAGTCGTTCATAGTAAGGCAATTTTTTTAGATGTCTATTCTTAGACACATCACTGTATAGTAATAATTGAGAATATATCCAATGTGAATGTGAATATAAAGAGTTATACGTACAAATGCTGGCTTTCCCCCTGTTCCTCCATAAGTTTAAACAATCATGAATTATATTTTCATACTTTCACTATATCTTTGAAATAGTGAAAATTTGAATCGCGTACATTTAATATACTGTTTTAGGTTCTGATTCGTGGGAAAACCTAATATACAGTTTTGCAATTATTTCAAGTAACTTTCCTTGAGAGCATTTTTTTTGTAAATGTTTGATTTAGTCCAAATCTTACAATTCTTGAGAATTACATGTAACCAATAATGCAACCTCATACAACACTCACACCATGTCTTTATTTGTCAGAGTGATCAGAGTCCCATGATTTGCTAACATTCCCTTAACTCAAACTTCTTTATACCAACAAGCTTTACTGTTTCAAGATATTGGACTAAAATGTCTATTGTTATGTTATTGGCTTCAACAGTTGTCTCAAACCTGTTCGCTTGATGTTTTTCCAATATTAAAAACTTCCTATATAACAGGTTAATCACATAATAGCTATTATATGTGGTAGTAGATTTATTCATCGATCATTTCAAATAAATAATTCAATCATATTAAACCACACTAAAACGAGGGTTGTCCGAGAACCCCCCTCCCCCCTCCCCCCCCCCCCCCGAACATTTTCAATAATTTTCGTTTCATTAATATTACAAAGTTAAAAATTGGCATGGACCATAATTAACATTTTTTACATAATTCACAGAAATTTCAATAAAATATATCTATAAGTAACATTTTTCTCTTTGATAACTAATCAATCAAAATAAGTCGGCGCAACACCGACGACGGCAAAAATCGTACCTCGTTGAGTTTCTGAACTTGTTCAGGAGTCGTACGTCTTGTTAAAAATTTGTTCGAAATTTAAATTCAATGCTACAGATTTCTCCGTTATTACCCGATCATGACAAGGAGCACACGGCGGATGTGACCGGTTGGCAGGGGATGCTCACTCCTCCATGGCACCTGATCCCACCTCTAGATTTTGAGGTCCGTGTTTGCTCTGCTTCAAATTTGTATCGTTTCATTGGACTTTCGAGATTGAATACTGTTCGTTATCTTCATATTTCATGCTGCACTAGATTTTCTTTTAGTTACCGAGTTGTCCATTTAACACGCATTATAGTAAAGAATAAATCATTGACAAAGAATTAAAAAAAATTTAAAAAGACAATTTTCCAACCCCGATCATAAACCTAAAAGCTCGTATAATTAACGGCTATCTCCACGTATGACGACCATCTATAGACTTTTCTGTTTTTCGTAATTTTTGTTGGTCTACCACATGCTTCTTCCATCGGGTGATTAGTCCATTCATCTTTAAATCTCTTTTACTATGTATAATCCAGTGTTCGATACATGTATTTTTGTCGTTCTTTTGTTCCCAGCTCTTTTCCCTTATGAACAGGAGTCAAAATGCGCTCCACACAGTGCTGAGTGATAATTGTGGTGCGCTGAATTATCGCAGCGCACCACACGTCGCGACGTCGCCGTTTTTGATAATATCAAATTAATAGTGTTTGCGCACATAACGTCATATTTTTGGTATTTGCGATGCCAGAGTATTGATATTTTACACAGGAGTACGCTAGATCATACAGTTTATAAGGATATATTTTTTTTCACATTATATTTCCATATATCCTGGTAATAAAGAAAAAACCGCTGTCAATGCTATTTTCGAAAGTTATGAAATTGCCGTACACCGACCACTGATATTTAACACCCTTTAAATGTTGTTTCTCAATGCATATACCATTACAACTATATATTATTTAGCCAAAATGACGAAAATATCATTTCCTAACATTGTGCCAAAAATGAATAAGTTTATGAAATATTTAAAAAGTTCGAATTTTTTTGGGACAACCCTCCTATTTTACATGTACAGTTGAACTTCGGTATTTCGAACACGGATATCTCGAATACCATGGATATGTCGAGGTGATTTTGAAGTCCCAAGCACTTATCTCTTCAGTAATTTGCCCTGGATATCTCGAATCATCGGATATCTCGAAGTATTTTCTCGGTCCTTTGAAGTTTGAGATTACGAGGTTTGACTGTATATATACAGTACAGATGTATAATGATTATACAAACTTGGGTTAAATGTAACATATTCTAGAGATTAATCAAACTGATGATTTTTTCATCTGTTTTTCTGTTGAAGAAGAGCTTAAATGAAGTTAAAGTAATGTCTACAAGTAAACTTTATTACCGTTTACTGAAATCTACTGCAATTTACAGAGGCGATGGATTTCATTGCAGATATTTGATTTTCTTCACTTGTTTATTCGAACATTGAGCAACAAACTGATTGTAATTTTCATCCGTACACAGTCCCCAGGGTGCACTTAGTCCACAGTTTATGTAACGGAGGAATTGTCCATCCTGGTCTATGATGTGGACACAGTAATTGTTATAATCAGCTGTAAGGATATAACTCTGGCTGTCTGTGGTGATTCCTCGTGGATAGAATGGTTTATTCTGTGGAGCAGGAATATGTCCAGTGTACCTGAATCTCAGTTTCCCGGCCTTATTAACCACTACTACAGCTTGTCTTTCACAGTCAGACACACAGATATCCAGGTTCTTGTTCTCAGTTATGTATTTGTAATAAGAAGCAGTAAAGAGAGGTATACTTTTATCGTCAAACTGAATGCCTTGTTTCTCTACGGAACCATATAGTAACGGACAACTTTTGCTCCCATTCTTTCATTATTGAGGATAACCAGCAGGTCACCAGAGAGGGTACTACAGACGTTGCGAGGTATCCAGTTCTGTAGTCTGATCACCTCTTCTATCTTCTCATTCTTCACAATGTTAACTGTTTGATCACTGTAATTAGTAAAAACGAGATCACCACTTTTTGTCACTGCCATGTGAGGTGGTCTGTTCCCTGACTTGGTTCTGATTGCTTTGAGTTGTGATCCCTGATTGATACTGAAGAGTTTTACGATGCTGTCATATCCTCTTGTCCAGATTTCTTCATCACTCAGACAGGCCACATTGTAAAGGTAATCTTCAAATCCAGTGTCTGTGGTGGTGATAATATGTGTTTCATCAAGCAGTTGTTTGAAAAGAGGAGAGGATTCTGCTTCTGGCGATTTCTTTTTTATCTTCAAACTGTATCCATTTTCAACTGAAGTTGATGGACTTAATGATATGAGCGCACAAACAATTCTCCGTCAATTCTTTTTGGTGTGAATTTAGGCAAAGATGGCACAATTTGAAGTGGAATCCGTCTATATTCTTCAACACTGGATTTAACACTAAAGAGCTTAGAAATATCTTTAGAGCCTACAGCATTCTCAAGTGAATTGATTTCATCCTTGATGTCAGAAATGTTCTTGTTTATTTCATCCAGATGTTTCTGTAGAGTTTGTAACTGTGTGTTTTTCAACTCATCAACTTCAGATTGAAGTTTCTTGACAAGTTTGTCAATTTCTCTGTGCCAGTCTTCTCCATGTTTTGTTATAACTGTTGAGAGATCTCCATATTCCTTTCCTAACTGACTCATTCTGTTTTGTACATCAGAGGCAATGTCCTGGTAGATTGGGTAAATTGTATCATTTAATTCAGTCTGTTCTAGGATGATACTGATCCTTTTTTCATCTAGAACTTGCAAAATTTCTGATACCTTATGACCTAGATGTTCATCAGTTGCAATGCATTTAGTGCAAAGAGGAATGTCACATTGCTTACAGTACATTTTACATCGTTCGTTATTATGTGTTAAACATCCAGGGTAGAGGGGAGTCGATTTTCTGTTCTTAAAATCCACAATTTTGTGAGATTTTGAGAGGGCGGCTGTGAAATGGTCACCCACACAGGCCTTACACAGGTTGACAAGACATGTATCACAGTGCATCTGCACCACAGCAGTCTCACACAGGTCACATCGCAACACGTCCTGTGCACTGGTACGGGGGTCCATATTTAAACCTTAGGCCCCAAAAATTGAATTATATGTAATGTGAATTAATGATAAAAGAAGATAATTCTATATTATGTGTATATATATTTCGATAGATCTTACTATGATTTATCATTCATTGGTGCTAAGAATTTTTATTATTCTATTTTCACCTTGTGCTTCCAGCCTCAAAATCTCTTTTCTCGTGAACAGGCCTCTGTATGATCGTGTAGATATACTTAGTACATCTACTTTTTATTTTTTAAAAATAAATAAATGATAAATGAATAAATAACCACCGTGTTACCCAGTCAAGAAAACTGAAGCAATCATTTTTTGGTGGTCGACCATACATGGAGTACAATGTCAACTTAATATATAGAGAAAACAAAGATGAGGGATGAGATAAAATTGCAAATAGTAACAAAAGGGGGGTCTTCAATAATTGTTGAACATAAATTATAGATTTAACATAAAATTAAATGAGAAAAAAAGGGGGGGGTGTGGTTAACACATTAATTTAATTAAATGGATATATTTGGAAGGGTGTGTGTGCGTGTATTAATTATAGATGTAATTTAAAAATTAAACACAAAAGGGGGGCGAAATATTATAATTTAGATTTGCTAAACTATTTTTATTTAGCTTGCAATACCATAAGAAATTTAAATTAGTATACCGAAGTACTGCTTACTCGGGTTAAAAAATACATGTAGATTTAATATATTGTTTTCAATAAGCAATAATACTGTACATTGTTCAATAAGCATATAAAAATACTACAAACTCGGCAATAAACACAATAATTAGCACACAGCATTAGTCTATACATTGTTTGATTATTAACAGATTATTTGAATTTGTGTTTGTGTATGTGTGAACAAAAATCAAAATTTTAATAAAGAAAACGATCAGGAAGCAGTTAAGCCAAATTGAATTTAGAAATTTTGGGTTTGTGCTATAGCATAATTATCATTTTAAAAGATGCCAAAAAGCCAAAAGATGTCGGCTAAAATGCCAGTAATTGTCTGAGGGAACTATCACCGGGGAAAATAAGTGTAAAAACCTCTCCGGCAACAATGAAACATAAAAATGCTAACGATGGAATAGCACTTGATTGTTACTTAGGTCGGTAGGGCGAATTCTGGAAATCCAAAAATTGCACCCGAACAATCCGAAGCCTAGGACTTGACTGGCAGGCTTAACAATGTTGCATGTAACATATAAATAATAAAATATAACAATGACAATTAGCACAATTCTGAGCATGAGTGACAGATGGCTTAGATAGAATAACTCATGACATGTTGAGTAAATCGATTAAATTGACACATTTTGAGTTACATGGTAACTAGCATAATTAGTATTTTATGTTGTTTTAAGTAATTACAATAGATTAAAAGTATATTTCAAAGATAGTTAAAACATGTCACTAAAATTGTTTTTATCAAAAATCACACCGTGATAGAACTCTCATCAGGTGCTAGTCCCAAACTCCATGCAGGTTTGTTTCGGTAATGAATTGGCCATTCATTCTAGCACGACAAACCTGTCCTCGCCATTTCCGGTAGATTTGTATATTTAATGTGTATATATATTTCGATAAATCTTACTATGATTTATCATTCACTGGTGCTAAGAATTTTTATTATTCTTATTTTTCACCTTGTGCTCCCAGCCTCAAAATCTCTGTTCTCGTGAACAGGCCTCTGTATGATCGTGTAGACATACGTAGTACATCTACTTATTAGTACATCTACTTATTATTTTTTAAAAATAAATAAATGATAAATAAATAAATAACCACCGTGTTACCCAGTCAAAAAGACTGAAGCAATCATTTTTTGGTGGCCGACCATACATGGAGTACAATGTCAACTTAATATATGGAGAAAACAAAGATGAGATAAAATTGCAAATAGTAACAAAAAAGGGGGGTGTATTTCTTCAATAATTGTTGAACATAAATTATAGACATAAAATTAAATAAGAAAAAGGGGGGTTGTTAAAACATTAAATTAATTAAATACATATTTGGGAGGGTGTATGTGCGAGTATTAATTATAAATTTAGTTTAAAATTAAACACAAGAGGGGGGGGGGCGAAATAGTATAATTTAGATTTGCTAAATTGTTTTTATTTAGTTTGCAATACCGTAAGAAATTTAAATTAGTATGCCGAAGTACTGTTTACTCGGGTTAAAAAATACATGTAGATTTATATATTGTTTTCAATTAACAATAATATACTGTGCATAGTTCAATAAGCATACAGAAATGCTACAAAGTCGGCAATAAACATAATAATAACAAATTAAGAAAGACAATACACTAAATCAGAAAGATAAAACCCAATGTACTACCAGTATTACAAACTCAGTTCCTCTTACATTTTTCTATCATTTTTTTCATCTGTTTATCTGTGTTTAATATGTATGAAACCTTTTCAACCTTGTAAAATATCTTTGATAAGTCTACTGGTAACACAAATAATAGCGTTAATAATAATTGAGGTCAGGTTATCTTATTAAAAGTCGCCCGAGTGGCGCAGTGGTTAGAGCGTCTGCTCTTGAGTCGCGGAGCAAGAGGTTGATCCTTACGTTGCAGGTCGAATTCCACTGGGGAACGTGGGGAACTGTCCCGTTTAATTCGCAGTAAGTGCTGGCACGAAAAAGATCCCTCACTGCTCAAAGGCCCTAAGGGACGAGTATAGGTCAAAATTTGTAGCCTCCACCGGCAAGTGGTTGCGTCTCCATATGAGTGAAAAATTCTCGAGAGGGACGTTCAACAACAAACAAACAATCAATCAATCTTATTAATACCCTTCCATTTAGAGATGGTTTCCAGAGACATTAGTTCCACTACCTACAGTCACCACATTTCTTTTTTAATTTTTAGTTCTGTAAGTGGTTATAGAGCTCCATATAAAGTCTCTAAAGTAAATATTGAATAAACAGGAATCCAAATGACACATGTATAATTTACATGTTAGTTATTTTACCTCCTGGTTGTTGTGTACTGGTATTTGAATATTAGCAAACAATCTTTATTCTTTGCTGTGCCTTAAACATTCTTTTCTTATGCTGATTAAATATACTCACTTTTAATATTGGCAGTAAAATTCGTTTAACCACATGGTTTACCATTATCAATAGGATTAAGAGACAAGTCATTGGATTGTTGGAAGAAAATTAAATAAATGCATTGAGTTCAGCTTGCTGGATCAGATTTGTAAATATTCAAACCGAGAATAAAATGTCTTTTCATGCATGCTATAAAAAATGGAGGGGGAGGGGCTATGGAAGGTAATTACCGCCAAAAGTCTATTTATCTTGCTTTTATTCTTATTCTGTCTACTTCTTTATTCTTTGTTATTATTGTAACTATATGTCACTTTATTGTTTTCATATTCGTCTTTATTACATTTCACTTTGAACTTTTTTCATTCTTCATTTTGTCCTTACTTCTATGTTGCTTTATTCTTGTAAATTCGTTCTTCTTTCTTTTAAATTGATACAGTTTCTTTAATAAATAATTATGCTCATCTCTATTACAAATGTAAATTCAGTCATGCAAACCATGAAGCGCATTCAACGAAGACGAATACAAGCAGTGTGAATTTAATGCGGCATTATAACGCTAGGTGGCAAGGTGTTCGCTGCGAGTGTTGGTAAAATTAGGTACGCAAACCCGGGCCGAGGTTATTCGAGATTTTTCAAATTTCTGCCTTAATACTTTATCAATCGAACCCAAATTTTCAAGTTATGTTAGTTATAGGTTTATTTGCATACGCGGTAAAATTGCCCCGAAATGCTCAATATTTTAGATTTAGAAGAAAATTATTTGATTTCCAAGTTTTTGGAAGGCAGTATCAAGCTGACATTATTAGTGGGTTTTTTTTTGACAAAAAGCTAATAAATTTATAAATTATTGGTTTGGACATATTTTATTGTAGTTTCTAATTACAAAGGGATTGGGCACAAGTTCTAAAAACTTATTACGCCATCTCCCTACGTGTAAATTACAAAAATTAAATTAGATTAGGACACAGTTAAATATGTACATTCAAAACATTCAATATTAGTGAAATTTACAAATCAATGCATTTAAAAAAAAATCATACATATAATTCTGTATATACATGTATATATAAATAAATATATTTATAATAATACTAATACTAACATGTTAATCTGCCAGAATGTTTAATAAAAGTTTGAACAATACAGAAAAGACGTTCATTCTCCACAGAACTCAATGAATCAATAATATTTAAAACATGTGTATCTAAAATGTAAATTTTATCAAATAATAAAAATTTATCAAGAAATTCCTAAATATAAATTATTCTGATGCTAAACATTATAATTTAACTATTTATAAGCATTTCTTCTTTCAAATGTGCTTTTGTTACTTTAAATACATGTTACACGTTTTAAGAAAATCTGGGTCATTAAAACCGCACCAATGATGTAAACTCCAAAATAATTGTGTATTTTCTTTCACCTGAAAAAATAAGTAACTCTATTCAAGTTATTTGTTGGATGATTGAATTTCAGTTTTATTGATATAAAAAAAATATTAAATATTTTGATAATTACTAGTATACCCTTATAAATTGAGTTGTTTTTCAGGACCCCTATATATTCTTCCACCGAACTGACATTTCTTTATTTCAGGATAATAACTGTTCATGCGCAGTCGCTTGATTCTGGGGACCGCGGGGCTAGTCTGGTTTCGGCCAACCTATAATGCTCTGCAAAGTAGTGCGGGACGTCATGAGTAGGCGTGGCCGGAACCAGGCTAGACCGGGGCATACTAGAAATTTCCCCCGGTTTTTATGAAAATATGTATTAATTTTTTATATAGAAATAGCACTTTTCAATAAAGAAATAAATATCTCTAGTAAGCACACGGTGTTTGACATCAGAATAACTCAAAAATTATTTTGTCAATTTCTCGTTTGGCAAAATAATGTCGGTTTGATATAATTGCCTACCCATCTTAGCAAACTGAAAATCA